TCTGATTTTGTTGTTGATGCTGGTGTTTGTTTGCAGAAAATTATTTACAATGGGCAATACTTCTTCAGACAATGACCTCAATGATTATCCTTACGATACGCTTCCTACAGCTCTGCGAGAATCTTGCGCTGTCTAAGCCCGTAGTAGCGACGCTGAGCTGAAGTCATTTCTTCGAAACTACAAACCATAATTTGGTCGTTCGTGGTTTCTTTGAGCAAGCGATTTTCGCCTTAGTCTCGCTCGCTAGCTTTGCTACTAGAGCAAGCAGACTTTGCTTGATATCTTTCACAGCCTTTGCAGATTTTCTCCCAACCAGTCTCTTAACAGTTGTACTCTTCAAGTTCGTATCGTCCGTTTTGTCAGGGTCTCCACCTCGACGCTTACGAGATCTTTTCTTCGAAGCCAATGACCGATGCCACTTAGCTGAATGAGACAGCTAAGTTCAAACATCTTGACCTCTAAAGCCTGCACAATTCTTCTCCCGAGACAGCACATGGACATCCGCAATTATGTCTTCCGCCGTTTTTCCGCTTTCGTTGCGAGACACAGCTGTGGCAAAATATTCAGCATATTTATTGCAAGTTGCCTGTAGCGAACTCCATCGTGTTTGCAAGCTTCCAGGCTAGCCACTTTGGCTTTAAATCCACTCAGATGCACCCGCTGAACTAAGTCGGTATGCACCTTACCCCCCCCCCCCCCAAAAAAAAAAGAAGCACTTCTCTTTTGCTCACCGCCACCAACTGCATCTTGCGAAATCTCTAGTCACGGGGTAGCAAGGTCCTCATCCGGGGATAGCATCCTTCCTTCCTTTCTTTTTCGACGATGATTTGGCAGCTAAAGCTTCATCTTGACAAATAATGCCATCCTGGCATGCTGATGTGAAGTACTTGCTTGATCGTTTCCGCTAGCACAAAGGGCACGCCGCTCTGCAACTTCTCCTGAGAGTACAGGCGCGGTTGTAGAATGCGTATAAACTGATACGCTACAGCTTATATGGAGGGGGGGGGCACGAGACAAATTTGCCCTGTGTGGGTTTGCTCAAGAATATACTCAACACCCTCTCAAACTAAGAAGACAAAAATTGTAACAAAATTTGTAACAAATTTTGTTTTCTTAGTTTTTGCTGACAAAATCCAGAGCTGTTCCGCGCCGTATTTCAAACGCAATACTGAACTGTACAACTGTACACTACCACTACGCTCTGTAATATCAGAAAAAGTGAGTAATTTATGTTTTCACAACGTTTGTAAAACCTCTATGACCACATTCTCTTAAATTGGAGGTCGACCTAAAGTTTTCAGCAAATCTTGACCGATTTTACTCTTGCCGATGCAGCTGCAAAAACAAAAACTATCGCTCTATTTTGGAGTAAAAATAGTTTTACGCACAACCGGTAATGCACAATACGCTGTCTAAGTGTGTTTGGCTAGTATAAAGGGCCAGGAGACCGCCCAGGAATTCTGCCTCCAGCTCTCGCGAACACCTCCCAACCGATTCAATTGGCATTTTCGTCGCGCGTAAGATGCAAAATGATGCTTTCCTGGTATCTACGCCTGACGTAAATACTGGCAAAACGTTTCATTTGGCCATAACTCCGTCAATATCCATGCGCACGTTTTTGAATTGGGGCAGGATAGGCTCTGAACCTGGAGATCTAGACTTGGGTACATCGAAACGTGTGGTTCTGGAGAGCGCAAAGACGATAGAGTAAGGTAGTGCAGGTAACTGAATCAATCTCACTCTATCTTTTGCATAGCTAGCCTCGTTAACGCGCATACACGAACTCGTCACGGTCCGAGGACCGCAGTTCAACACACGCCGTATTTAGTCTACATGTACATGTAGTAATAGCTCTTCATATTTTTACGAGTAGAAATTGACTAGTATGCTATTGTAAAGTCTACTCGAAATTTCCGCACGCGGTTCTCCAAGCAAATCGTACGCCGAACGGCGTAAAACTTACTATCAGCATATATATGCATTTAAACAGAGGTGATTCGAGCTGACTTGCGCCCCGCAATCGCTCACTGAGGCCACAATCACGGTTCTCACTAAGCCGCTAGCTACGACCGAGTGCACGCCACGACCCACGAAGCTCTCAAAAGCTGCAGTAATCATCCGCCTTAAGCTCGCAGTACTCCAGTCGAAGTCGCCCGTCTGGTTGGTCTACAGTGCGCTGGGAGAGTGTCAGTAGCCGCAGCTTCATTTCCACTCAAGCCTGGCTGGTGGCGGTGTAAGCATGGCCGATGAAGCGACAAGACCTGGGACGCCAGGACAAGCACCGACGGATGCACAACAAGGTAGAAGTACTGAGCCTTGTGTGTCAGGACGCCGCCCAACGTCCGCGCGAGGGACGCCACCTTCGACGTTGCCAGCCTTGCGTGTTTCGCCGTACCCATCGCGGGAGCAAACGCCTCCTCAGTCGTTTCCATCCTCAGCATATCTGAGCTCGCGTATCACTGAGCACATCGCCAGATAATCCAGAGCAACACCGCCTACAGCTAGTGGTACAAGGCGTCGTCAAAGACACTATTGGGATGCGTGATTCATCAGGCAAGATGCTGATGTTTTGATGCAAATGGAGCAACGTTTGACGCTTTTATGCACAAGCTTTGGATGAAAATCAAGTGCCATATTAAGGGCCAGGCCGTTAAAGATGGTGATACATGGACTTGTGTTGAGCCGAGCGAGTCTACGGGGAACAAGGTGATGCAATTTAAGATGAATGGGCGCATAAAAAAATCCGACGTCAAAGTCTGAAGAATCATGAAGCCGTTGGGCTGCTTCACTCCGTGGTGACACGGCCACCTTGATGATTTATACCTATGGTCTAAGTATATCAAATGCACGGATTCTCAAGGACTTCAAAGTGGCCTATATCCACACAGACCGTTCTGGCGCTGCTACAGAGGCGTCATTTTTTGAATTGGTGGAACGACTCCGTGAAATTTGGGAAGGGACGTTTCAAGCCAGCGCTGCAGCATTGATAATGTGGGCGAATGAAATCGTTCGTAGTTTAGATCGCTCAACATGGGAAAATGCCTTGTTGGACTCGCCAACAGCTAGGATATTGCCAATGCTCCAGGTAGCTGATGCGCGAGTTGAGCAACATCTAGCAGATCTCACTAAATCGGCTAATTTGGCTCTCGATATTGTTGATGCTTCGCTTAAAAACAACGAACAGCTACATCATCACTGGGAGATGTTTGGTTTGCGTTTAGCAAATCAGAAAGGATACACTTGAAGCGCGCAGAAGGATACTTCAATGTATCCGCGCCAATATTCCTCTACGACCTATTTCGACTGTGATTGATCCGCTAGTTTCAATGGAGAACATGGAGGAGTAGTGCTTCAGCAAGTCATTGTATTAGCTTTCGAATCCAATAGTTTGCCTCGTAATTTCTTTTTAAATGTTTATTGTTATCGATACCTCGAAATATCCAAGCTCTCCTGTCTCGCGTCGTGTTAATTTTCTCTTGACAAGGGGTCAGTCGGATCGAAATGTCCCTGCACTGTTTAGCCGCAGTGCTGAAAGACGCTCGCCATTTTAAACTTTTCGAAACGTGTAAGCATTTTAATCACAAACGGAAGTAGATCGCTACCACTTGACTCAACATAATTCCTCTGAAATGACTGCTTAATATAGCCGAACATAAACTCAATCGGATTGAAGAATGGACAGTAGGCAGGCAGGAAAATAGGAATCACTCCAATACTCCGGAGGAAGTGAATTATTTCTGGGTCTCGGTGATTCGACGCGCCATCCAAAATCCATATCGAATTGGTGCCAGGGTACTGGCGAACCTTTCCACGACTTGAATACGCAAAATCTCTGCAGCACGTGAAGAACTTGACACGATCGAATGTTCCGTCAGTGTTATAATAGTCAATGATTCCATCAACTCCCAGAAACGCCAGGACTAAAACGCGTGGTTTACGTTGAAAATCACCACGAACTGCAATCTTGTGTCCCCTAAGTGAATAACCTCGCTTGTGGATCATTCCACGGTTATCAAATGAAACTTCATCTAAAAAGACAATGTTTCGGTGGCACCAGGCGACACAGCTGAGCTTTTTCACAAAGCAAAGCACGTCTTTCTCTTTAATATGCATCGGCTCTTCGTTCCAGCGCCTTGCGAGTAAATCTACAATCGTGCTGTTTTCTCCATACAGATGTCTTCGAAATGCTCATTTGATGAGCCTCGAGGAAAGCTTCCTGAGCCTCATTTTAAATCGGCTAGCGGCTGCATAGTGTAGAACTCACATAGCCACTTTCGATGTGCCTTTGTTAGTGCTCGCGCTGAACTTGCTTCATCTCGCTGGTAGGTCCCAGTTTTCTCGAAACGTTAATTCAGCTCCCAATCGTCTTTGCTGACTTGTGGTAAACTCGAGCAAGGTCCTTACGCGAATATCCGAGGCAATAAAATACAGTGCTGGGGTGGGCATGCCGGCTTGTTACCGCTTTCTCCGTTGATACGAGAGAGTTATGACTAGGCTATTTCAGTCCAACATTGCAAACAATAATATTAGCATAGCGAAATTAATATGGTACGCTTGTATAATACTTCACATCTCCACCAGGAAAGACGCCGCTGCACCACCCTTGTATGATACTGCACACCTCCGCCAGGCAAGACGTCGCTACACATGCTGTTGCAAATTTGCTTAACTGCCATTTTGCCCAATCAGATCAGCCTGTGGGCTTGACGGCCAGTAGGTAATAAAGTGTAAATTTGGACGGAATTGACAATATATTAATTTAAATTAGCACTGGTCTGAAATGGTGTCAAATTGACAACTGTTCGGCCACGTACTTGCTCATTAAAAAAGGAGCTAATACTGCTCTTTCGATTAAATTCGGTCTTTTTTAGCTTAAATTAGGCAACTACAAGGATTTTCATGACACGGCTGACGTCGACAGTCTCACTTCATTCGCCACCTGCTTCAACTATGCGCCGTCGGTTCGTCCCATCACTCCATTCGCGAATCTTCTCCGTCGACCTCAGTCAGTCATTCGCAGCATCATGGCCAACCAAGTGGACCACTCGAACCCCATCACGCTCTCGCGCTTCATTTTGGCCGAGAAGGAGATCCAGGGCAATGCTGACCTGAGCGTGCTCTTCACGTCTATCGAGCTGGCCTGTAAGGTCATCGCCAGCTCGGTGCGTCGTGCTGGTCTCACGGGCCTCTACGGCCTTGACGGCTCGGAGAACTCGACCGGAGATCAGGTGAAGAAGCTGGACGTGTTGGCCAACGACATTTTCATCAACTCGCTTAAGTTCTCGACCAAGATCGAGGTCATGGTCTCCGAGGAGGAGGAGAAGCCTATCGTCGTGCAGAACGACTCCAGTGGCACCAAGTACTGCATCGCCTTCGACCCGTTGGACGGCTCATCCAACATTGACTGCAACGTGTCCACTGGCACGATCTTTGCTATTTACCAGCGCGACGCCTCGTCCGAAGGAGGGTGAGTTTAAGCTGCAAAATGTGCTGAGCATCATTGGGATAAAATCGCTCATGTCTGTATGATATTTTTACAGCTACAAGGACATTCTGCAGCCTGGCAGCAAGCTGGTGTCGGCCGGTTACTGCATGTACGGTAGCTCTACGCAGCTGGTGCTGACGTGGGGCAAGGGCGTGCACTGCTTCACGCTGGATCCGACGATTGGAGCCTTCATTCTCTCCCATCAGGACATCCGCATTCCGGACGAGCCCAAGGCCATTTACTCGTGCAATGAGGGCAACTATGCCCAATGGGACAGTGCCACCAAGGCCTTTGTGGACGAATGCAAGACCGGATCCAAGGCGTACGCGGCTCGTTATGTCGGTAGTATGGTGTCTGACATCCACCGAACCATCCTGTACGGAGGCATCTACCTGTACCCGGGCAGCACGAAGGCCAAGGACGGCAAACTGCGTCTTCTGTACGAGTGTAACCCCATGTCTTTCATCATGGAGCAGGCTGGCGGCATGGCGACCACTGGCACGGAGCGGATTCTCGACCTCGTCCCCACGGACATCCACCAGCGCTCGCCAATCTTCCTGGGTTGCAAGCGCGACGTCGAGCGCGTCATTGCGCTGTACAAGGAGCACAACTAAACGTAATCCCATTGACCGGTAGCTCCATAAACAAGTTCCCATAAAATAACTAAGCCAATCCGTGTGTGAGCTGCGTGAATGTCAAGGGAGTTCTCTAACATCCTTGGGTGTTTACATGTCTGCAACTGCGTATTTGTAGGCCTCCTCGCTAACTGCAGCGTTCGCGTTCTGCCGCATCATGATCTTTTCCTCCCAGTTGGTACCTCGCACAACTCCATCCCAGCGATAGCCTGGCTGGATTCCGAAGCGGTTGGGCGGGGCAGGAGGACCAGCATATCTCGGCTTCTTCTTGCTCTTCTTGTCTTTCTTACTCTTCTTCGTCTTCGTTTTGCCCTCCGCAAGTGGGTCCTCCTGGAACACCTTGCTGTTCATTGGGTCAAAGGCACGCACGCGCTCCCGTCGCTTCCGATCAAGCTCTTCGTCGTCTTCATGCCTGGCGAACGGGGTCTTCTTCATCTGCTCCAGCAATTCGTGTTGCGACTTTCGCTCTCGCTTCTGTACTTCACCTGTACCCCACTCGTACTCTTCCCGCTCTTCACGCTTGCGCTTACCATCCAAAACCTCCTGTTGACGAACCATCTCGTTGAGCATGTCTAGCTTCCGGCCGCGCTTGTCGCGATACACGGTCTCAGCGTTAGCACCCATCTCACTAGCGTCTACGCCTCGCAATATATCTTTCCGCCTCGCTGCAACCTTGCGCTGGTGTTCGAACTCAGCAGCAGTGAACAAGCCCGCCTTTTTCTCTTCCTTGTCATCACTTTTCTTCTTCGGTTCCCGAAACTTCGTCTTGACGTCTGCGGGCGAAGGAGACTGCACTGCCGTACGTGATTCGTTATGAGCCTCGCAATCCTCCGGCGCTCCCTCTTTCTTCGTGTCCGTCCGTCTACGCCGTGAAGTGTGGTGTCTAGGACTGCTTGATCGCGAACGAGAACTACGAGGTGACGTCGAGTGGTGTCTCCCACGACTGCGAGGACGTAACGACTTCTTTCTGTGCGGTGAGCTCCGCCTCGACGACCTTCTTGGAGAACGTCGGCGATGTTCCGATGGTGAGCGACTGTCACGACCACGTGAGCGCGGAGATCGACTGCGGTTTCGTCGTGCCCTCCTTCCTCGAGGAGAAGCACGATCCCGGTCACGACGACGTCCTTTGTCATGGCTTCTACTTCGGCTTCTGGCAGATCTTCTGTCACGGCGTTTGCTGGAGGTTTCGATGTCCCTTGATGCTGATCGGTCACGCCTTTTACTGCCACTAGAGCGAGGAGGAACATCCCGGCCAAGAGAATCTACACGACGCTGTCGATCACGTGCAGCAGGTGGCAAGTGTCTCTTGCTGCGTTTCAAGTCACTGCTATCTTGGCGGGAACTCCTTGAAGGTGACGCATTGTCATCACGACGTGATCTCCGTGGAGGTGAGGTATCTTCCTCGTTGGCAACACTTGGTTTGCGTTCACCTAAACATTCGACTTCCTTCTTCACGTCGTTGCGAGGGGGCAAGGCATCGCTGTCCTTGTCTCGCTCATGTCGGGATGATACTGCTTTATGGTGCCCGTCATAAGGTTTTCGACGAAGTGGAAAAGCATCGCTGTCGTCACCTCCGCGATGTCTACGAGGCGGAGATGCATCATCGTCCTGACCCAGCTCCTGGTGTTTAGATCGTCGAGGCGGCGACGCGTCTCCCCTTCCTTCCTCACTTCCACTCCTCTTTTCGCGTCGCTGTCTCCTCAATGGCGAGAGTTCATCATCGCTTTCTTCTCTCTGTCTTCTCGAAGATTTCTTGTCAGAATTTGAGCCTCTACGGGGTGGAGAAGCATCGTCTCTCGGCACAGACACGTCAGTCTTAGAGCGTCCCGCTGTCCTCTTTCTCGGTGGAGACATATCTTCGTCCTCGTTCTTTTTCAAGTGCGTCTTTCCGCTCTTAAACTCGTCCAGATACTTGTCTGAGTCCACGTAGACCGGTAGATCTTGCGGATCGACGAGCTCCTCCCCGTCCGCAGCCACCACCAACGGTTGCTCGTCCTCAGCAGCGTCCATCTCCCACTTTTTCTCGATCGCTTCTCGGTTGGGTGCCGACTGCTCCCACGTATCATCAGCATCTACCACGCGCGTACCCAATGCGGTAGATTTGGCCTTTTTGGTCTTTTTGACCTTCTTTTTCTTCTTCTTTTCGCCATCAATAGCGTCTGCAGAGTACAATTTCAAACAAGGGGGAAAATGAGTGTATATGCTGCAGAGTGCGTCATCATAGAGAACTAGAGGAGGCGTACCTCCGCCACCGCCGGACATGTAGCGCTGGAGATATTCCAGCTTCGACGACATGATCTCCACTTGGTAGTCCACTGGACGTTCGGAAGTCGAATTTAGGTCCGAAATTAACATCAAAATTATTGTTGCTATTTTGTGTAATTTGCTTAATGTTTGCTTCATTTCATTTTCGGTTCATGGCTTCAACATGGCGCGCAACACGAAGGACATGAGCGAGCCGGCCGTAAGGCCAATGGACAGCACGAAGAAGATGATACTGCCACCCAATTCTTTCTCGGCGTTTTTACGGAGAAGATCCGGGTACTCCATGAATGCCAGTGTGCACAGCAGTCCGTTGGAGAAGGCGCAAGCGGCCATGAACAAGCAGGCCAGCACGTTACTGCGGAAGAACACCGTCGTGATCACCTCGTGCGACTTGTTTTGCAGGTTGCAGAGCATCAGAAGCGGGAAGAAGACCAGTCGAGCTAGACTGGCCAACAATACCGTCTTCTGTCCCAGCTTGGGCCACCAGGACGCGGATAGACGCGCCACAAAGTCCGACGTGTTGAACAGGATGAGCGTAAACGGCGTGAACAGCTTGTCGAAGAGAATACCCTTCTCCGGCTGTGTCGATTTGATCGCAGACGTGATTCCAGGGAAGACGCCTAGCGTGACAACGAAGATGAAGAACGTCGCGGCAGCGTAGAAGCGGATCTTAAAGGCGACCTCCAGCATGTCCACCTTGTTCGAACCTGCTGCTCCATCGATACCTTCCAGCAGGCGCTTTCGCGGCGAGGCGTCCAATGTATCCACTGTGTCCGTCTCACTCGATGCATCGTCAAAATATTCTTTCTGATGGTGTCCTGGGTGATCGACTCTCTGGTAGTGGCGGAAAAGCGCCATCCGCGTGAGGATCGCGAAAGCCAGAAGACACAGCACCAGCGTAATAAACACCAGCACGAAGTACAGGAACGCGCACAAGTCTGCGTTAGCATGTAGACTGTGGAAAAGCCTTGTATCATCTTCGCCCGCCCACAAAATAATAAAGTTCGAAAGCGACACTGCCAAACCAGCGAAACTCTGACCGCTAACCACCGCCTGCGTGTACTGAGGAGGGAAAGTCGCCACAATGCGCAGTAGTCCTTCCTGCATCAATGTCGAAGCACAAGCAACTAGCAAGATGCTCGTCATGGTCGTCTGGAAGAACGAATAGCCTACAATAGAGGAGTCAGTTGGCTGTATCATCAAGTGTCACAGCTGGCATAACTCCGCACCATGGAACTCGGGCATGCGCGTCCAAGCACAGTGCATGAACATGACGCCCATTATGACGATGAGCGAGAAAAAAACGGTGCGTACGGCGCCTGCCATGCGCTCAGCAATGACCGCTGTGCGGATAAGCATCGTCATGAGTGTGCTGACGTTGAAGGCCATGCTGAACCAGTTGAGAAACGAGTCCTCGTATGTGATGCCAGCCAAACGGCGCTGGAAATACGCCTGCGCCGTGATGAAAACGTTCCATGGCAGTGAAGATCCAATGCCGATGAAGAAGAAGATGGCGAACACTATGCCCGAAGTGTGCTGTCGGCCCCCCATGCTGCTTGAAGAAGGGATTTGTGTGAGGCATTTAGATTCGTGGAGTGGCCCACACAATTTTGATGAAGTTGAAGTTGAAAAACTTCATATTTGTTGATTCTTGCACCTCTTGAGCATGAACGTGGACAAACGACTATCGAGTAGACTGGCTGCTTAGCACTTTATTAGTCCCTTGATGAATTGCGGATTGCATATTCATACGGATACTCAAGTTACGAAGCTACATAATTGCATTTGCAAGCTGTAGAAAATAGCTGAGTGAGTGGGAATAATGACAGTCGCCATCCTTTTAAACTATACGGTAGTAGTTTGTAGCATTGATTAGTATTAGGAAAAACCTACTGCCCAGGTTTTTCGTGCATAGCCGTGCGACTATTGACCAGGTTTAAAGCACATGTTTCGCCAGGTTTCTGGCCAGGTTGTAATTAATAAAGTAAAATACCATGATTTGAAAATATTCCCCTACACCTACTAATCTCATGATACGGCACCTGATCGCACGTATCTCTGCAGCTCAGCTTCTCAAAATCCATTCATTTCCAAATTTAAACCGTGCTGGAGGAATGATGCGCAAAGCCCACTCTGAAGACGAAGCGTCCATCAACGAATATCCCCCAGCCTCTTTGTCCAGCGTCTCAGAATCGGAAGGTGAGGGGGAGGTGGCCACGCAGGTTGGCGGCAGTGCTAGCGACGAGGAGTTTCCAGCAGACCAGGAGGGCTCTTTTGAAGGGAAGGAGCTGCGTCGCTACCACACAAACTGGGAAAGGTGGAAGAAATACCGCGAATCGTATTGCGAATCCGAAACTGCGCATCTTGTGGTGCACGAATCGGAGATTGTCGCCAAACGCAACAAGATGCTGCGTGCTTCTAAGCGCGCCAAGGACGGTGGCTCGATGCGATACTTACCCGAAGACCTTCCCCGTTTTCGCCGGAGATACATTTGTACGCACGGGTCGCGGACCCGCCGCCGTGGATCAGGAAAGAGACAGCAGTTCAAGCTTCGAGGTACTGGATGTCCATTTCGTTTTACTGCGGAGAGTGTGTACCACAAAGGAAAGTGGATCCTAGAGATAAAAAATGCCATCTACACTCACAACCACAAGCTTTCCCAGGACATTTACGAACATTATCCTCACAATCGCCAAGTTCCGATGTTTGAGCCTCTGGTCGAAGACCTTCGGTTGATGGTACGCGCTGGAGGCAAGGGTCTCCGAATTTACGAGTACATCCGTGATAACTCCAGGTACAAAGTGACGCAGAGAGATGTGGCGAATCTTCTTACCCGAATTCGCAATGAGCTCCGTGGACAGGCCGATGATGATTTGGCTGCTGCCGAATTTCTTGTCGGCTTCGGCGAGGAAGACAAGAACAACGTAATAAGTGTCGATGACACGTCAACGGGGGAGACAGAATCAATCTGACTGAGTACAGGCCACATGCGAGCGACGTTTGCTAAGTATCCGGAGCTCTTGCTGGTGGACGGTACGCACAAAACCAATCGGTAAGTTCATAACAGGTTCTACACCAGGTTTACATTCCTTGTTTAAACCAGGCTTCCAACAGGATACGAATCAGGTTTCGTACCAGGTTTCGTACCAGGTTTTAAGCTACGGCTCAAAACAGGATTAAACTGTTCATTCTTTTTTAACATTTGTTTTTATGTTTTATAGATACGACTTCCAGCTATGCAGTCTGATGGTGATGGATGCCTTCCGGTCTGGTCAGTTCGTTCAGCACTCTGTTATCGAGACCAACTCGGATTGGCATATGCGGAAGGTGCTCAGCCACTTCAAAACTGCCAATGTCACTTGGGAGTCGCTCCGCGTTGTGATCGTTGATAAAGACATGAGAGAGATCAGTGTGATTCGGGAGGCATTTCCGGATGCTACTATTTTGCTCGGTCATTTTCACGTCTTGAAGTTTTTGCGAAGTGTGGTTCGTGAGGCTCGCTTCGGGCGCTATTCTGCTGACGAGTACGACTGGATGAATCATCTCTTCTCCAATCTGGTAGACGCTCCGTCCAACGAGGAATACGCAAAGAATTATTCTATTTTGGAGAAGTTTTCATGCGCGCATAAGAACACCTCCTTCTGGGAATACTTCTGTGAGAATTGGGACAAGTCGAAGGACATGTGGACTAGATATCGCCGCCAAAGACTGCCGCATTTTCGCAATAATACGAGTAATCGCATTGAGTCTAATTTTGAAAAGCTCAAACTCGATCTTGATTCATCGTCCACAATGAAAGAGTGCTTGGAGTCTCTCATGCGTCATCAGCGTCGCGTAGAAAATGAAAGTTTAGTGAGAGAGTCGTTCAAAGGAAGGTGGACGCATTATGGCTCAATTTTGATCGCATTCACTGGACGTCGATTGTGATCAACACTGCGACCAAGAGCATTTTCATTTACGACCCTTTGGGAGATCCAGACTACATTGCGTACCTGAACAAAATCAAAACGCGCCTTTGCAAAGAGAGCAAGTTTGCCTCGTACAAATCCGTTGTTGTGGCATCTCCTACCCAGAACGACGGGAATAGCTGTGGTATTTACGTACTCAACTTTATGTGGAGGCTTCTTGACGACGAGATCAGCAATGTGCAGAAGGACCCTCAGCTTAATAGCTTTAGAGTTCGGATGTTGTCCGCACTACTAAGTCAATAAATGCACTCATTTCATGTCAGATATTGAAGTAGTATTTGAGTCCGAGCTTATCCGTGTTGCCGTCGGTAAAACCTCAAGTACAACAACCTGTTTTATAACCTGTTGTCAAACCTGCTAGAGATCCCTTGACATATTTGGGATATCGTACTGATATCGCTCTAAGTACAACAACCTGGTGTAAAACCTGTTTGAACACCTGGGATGATGTGGCGTGTCACGTTTACATGCACAAAACTGAGGGGTCTCCGACGTGTCCCAGACACTGTATGTGCACCACACAAGAATTGTAGACCTGCCATCCAATCATTATGATTACAGCAACCTCCGCACTTCAACAAATTGGGTTGTGCAAATCCTTTTATTCCACCGTCTCGTTGAGCTCTAAACAAAACAAAGAAAGGCCATGATGCGTAAATTACATATTTTTTTTCAATGCGAAATACATTACGACCTGGTTTCAATCCTGCTTCAGGTTGTGTACCAGGTTAAATGCGCACATCTATGCACCAAAAACCTGGGCAGTAACATCGTGCTTTGTATTACCAAGACCAAGGATTTTCGGTTAGTGAATATGTGGTTTATAAACTGGTAGTGTGAATGTCAAGAATGGTAGCCGTAGAAACGCAGTTTGTTTATGCTTGCTTCTGTAGAACACTTTTACTCGCAGGAACTCGAGTGGTAAGAAGGGCAGATCGCGAAAAAGAAACTGAATTCGACAAGAGTTTTGATCAATTTCAGTGCCAGCGGCTCCCGCTTAGTTTCGATGCATAATCTGATTATGAGGGCGGTGATTATAAAGACACTCACCAAAGAAAATCTTGACTCGGGACTCTTCAGAAAATGATGTCGTCGCTGCTGCGTGTGGACACGGAGGACGAAGATGAAGAAGACAGCGACTGGATGCCTGAGTACGAGGGCGAGTCCGCCTCCCTAACTTACGAGGACGACGATGGCACGCCCGTCATTTCCTCGGAGGAACGCGCCAAGTTAGACAAGGTGTTTGACGGCGAAACGTACGCCCCGCGGGCCTTCCGCCGCTCCGAGTTTGAGAAGCAGCAGCGTGAGAAGCTGCCGCTCGAGCGCATCGCTCATCAGCTGCGCGGCTATAATGAGGACTCGCCCGGGGCCTCTCTTTCGCGCAAGCAGCTGATGTTCCGCACCTTGTGCCACCGCGAGCAGGTAGGTACCTCGTCCAAGGCGCAGCTCATCAAGATGCAGGAGACTTTCATGCCCTTCCAGGAGAATAAGCAGTGTCGCGTGGTAGACTCAGTGCGCGATCGACTGTACTGCGGTGGATTTAATAGTACCGGGTCGCGGTTCTTGACCGCCGGACAGCGCGGCGAGATCATGTTATATGATACCATTGACTGGACCCGCACGGCATTCTTGCCCGTTCGTGATGTCAGTTGGACAGTGACCGATGCCAAGTTCACACCCGATGATAAGAACGTCGTCTACTCCACCATTAACAGCAATGTTCGTATGGTTAGCACCAACTATGAAGAAGACGGGAAAGAGTCCGTGTTCGCGTTGGCACGTCCGATCAGAGGAAGAGGTGACAGTCATTCTGCGCGAATGAGCCGTTTCGGACGCTTTGGTGTGTGGTGTATTGACATCAATGCGTCTGGAACTGAATTTGTAGCGGGAACGTCTCAAAGCAGTGTCGTATTGATGGACATGGAGACCCGCGTTCCTATGTGTCACGTTGTAGGCCACCACGACGATGTAAATGCCATTGCGTTCGTAGATGGGCCTCTGCATACGAATGTATTTGTGAGTGGGTCAGACGACTCGTTGATCAAATTGTGGGATCGTCGAGTGCTGTCTGAGTCGAACCCGAAGCCGCAGGGAGTGTTTCCTGGTCATACTGACGGTATCACGCACGTATCTTCGCGTGATGATGGCTACTACTTCATTTCGAACTCGAAGGACCAAACTACTAAGCTTTGGGACATCCGAAAATGCTTCTCGTCGGACGAGCACGACAAACTACCGCAGTTCCGCAGACCCTACTCGTGGGACTACCGCTATCAAGCGTATCCCGGTCGCAATATGATGCCGGTGCAGCATCCTGACGACAAGTCCGTCATGACCTACCGAGGCCACATGGTGATCGAAACACTGATCCGCTGCTACTTCTCGCCGCTGCATTCGACAGCTCAAAAGTACATCTACACAGGCTCAGCCGACGGTCGCGTGTACGTGTACGACAGTATATCTGGTGACCTCGTTGAGATCTTTGCGATGAAGCCCAACGGTCTCACTCGCGATGTGCGTTGGCATCCGTTCGAGCCTACGATTGTGTCTCCGGATTTCTATGGCAAGTTGTGCGTCTGGCAGCGCCAGGATGAAGAACAAGAGAAGCCAGCTACTCGACCTGCACCAACCCGCCGCTCCGCACGCCTTCGCCATTTACGAGCTTATTAAAATACGCGCCAGACAAAGAGTCAGGGTTGAGCGCTGCATGCGTGCATGTTAAGCAAGAAATGTATTCATCTATGTATTCATTCACCAGAGCTTCTATCAATTCCCATACTACTCGTGTCCTTCGTTGCGTCGTCGTGAAGGGCAAGTATTACTAACACAGAGAAGGTAAGTGCTGGTTGGCTTGTACGCACAAACCAAGCAGTGCTTACCTCCTCAACAAAAGCAGTTGTACAGCCAGCAAGGTGCAAGGCTGCCGGTGTAACCGACACAGTGTTGAACACTGGTTTTGGCCATCGTCTGATGAAGATTTGCTCTCCAATTGCGTGTTTGGAATCTACGCCGCCGTCGGACAAGGTGGACCTTTTTCCGAGTGCAACAATGGCTGGCTAGATCACCGGAATGGACACATACGGGATACTGTACCTTAGTTGGACATTTTCGTCGTCGGAGCTCAAGTCCGGCATACACTTCGCGTAACGCGCCAAGAACGGTTGCAGTTCTTTGCCTGAGTTAGGCATGCCATACTAATCATTCAGTGGCGGTCACTGGTTGGGACGTAGAGGCATGGCCCCTACACAACCCATGCCACCATATCGAGCTGCCAGCGTGATCGATGGCCTGCGTGCAACGAGTGGTGGTAAATTGTCACCAGTAGGAGCTGTCCACTTGCAACCTGGCTCCATGTAATTGGACGGAGGCAACATCCCAGACACAATAGTCATGTGAACCATAAATGACAGGTCAGCCGTTCTCTCCTACAAAAGGCAAGATGTTACCCTCCATCGACGCAATATAAATCATAATTCATTTAATTTCGGAGTTATCCTATTAGATATAATATGTATGCTGATATACAGGCAAATTACAACAGCTCAACAAAATCCGGACCAAAACGTCAAGTTGCTGCCTAATCCAGGTCCCATGCTTTTGGTTACATCTTCCTTTTTGTAAGGATTACGAGCACCCTGTTCTGTAACTCTCATCCCTTTTTCAAAATGGATGAGGTCGACGCAATGGAGGGGTAGGACTGAATGGCCATCACACAATCCAGCGCCTCCTCACAAAGGATTTCGCCCTCTGCTTGTGACGTTAGGATATGGCGCGCAACAACTACAACAGCATGGACGAGACAATGCCGCTGAAGGGCCCGCGACCCGCCATGGAGCGAAAGGCTTCGCGCCGTATTCCGTTGACCGACGGCGCCAAGCGGGCCCAGCGGAAACTGCAACTAGCCTGCGTCTGCTCGCTGCTCTTCATGTGCGCCGAGGTCGTGGGTGGCTTCCTGGCCGGCAGTCTGGCCATCATGACGGACGCTGCACATTTGCTGTCGGACGTGGCTGGCTTCTGCATCTCGCTGTTTGCTATCTGGGTCAGCACCCTGCCGGCCTCGAGCCGCCTAAGCTTCGGCTTCCAGCGCGCTGAGGTGATTGGCGCCGTCACGAGTGTGCTGGTCATCTGGGTGCTCACGGGAGTATTGGTCTACGCCGCTGTGGAGCGCTTTATGGAATGTCTGGAGCCTAACCCGAAGGAGCACGTGAACGGCAAGCTCATGTTCATTGTGGCCTGCATCGGGCTGTTCGTGAACCTGATTCTGATGCAGATCCTTGGCCATGGACACAGCCACGGAGGAGGTGGTGGCCATGGCCACTCACACGGAGGAAGCAGCGGCGGCCATTCTCATGAAGACAGTTCCAGTAGCGAAGAGGAAGGACATGGACACTCGCACGGCCATGGCCACTCCCACGGAGACCACGGCCACTCCCACGGTGGACATGGAGACCTTGAGAACGGTCTGGGTGAAGCTCCCAAGTCCAAGAAAAAGCTTGAGAACTTGAACATTGAGGCTGCCTACATTCACGCACTTGGCGACTTCATCCAGAGTGTCGGTGTGTGTATCGCCGGTGGCCTCATCTGGTACAAGCCCGAGTGGCAGATTGCCGACCCCATCGCCACATTCATTTTCTCGATCCTTGTATTGGGTACAACGATCGGTATTGTTCGTGACAGTATCCATGTGCTTATGGAAGGCACACCGGACGGCATCCACGCCGACGACATCGAACGTGGTCTGCGTCGCTGCTCGTCCGTGGTGGCTGTGCACGACTTGCACATCTGGTCGCTCAGTGCTGGTCTGCCGTCATTGAGTGTTCACCTGGTCTCGGACGATGCGGAGACAGCTCTGCACGCAGCTCAACGCTTCCTCATGTCTAAGGGTATTACGCACACGACAATTCAGATTGAAAAGACGGCCACGCTGTACCCGCGCGACTGCAAGTCGGACCTTAAGTGCGGTCAGGACTCTCCGCAGAATAGCGACTCAGCTTAGATAACTGGGAAAATGTTTAAGCAAGATTTAGGCAGCAAGTAACGCAAAACTAGATCGTCTGCGGCTTACACTGGAAATACCTAAGTTTTTTTAGGAAGGCTTCAACGATGCAATACTTTCGATAATATCCAGAGCCTCCCAGGCAACACACAACATTAGTCTTACAGAACAACATTATTCTCAGCATTATCCAGCACTTTTCTGAATAAAATCAAAATAATTGACGGATAGATTACAAATGGATGATCCAAAACTTTTACTTAGTTTCACTAAAAATATATTTTTGGACCATCGGATTTGACCCTTTTCTGACAATTGCTTCAAAAAAGTCAAGAGACTCAGCTTTAAATTTTTGGTCCGGAAATGGTTTACGCATAATTTTACGCAAATGCCGTACCAAAAACGCGAAGGGTAGCCATTAAACCATTTTCACAACAATGGACGAGGACAGCGAGTACGCTCTGACAGACTTCGTGGTCGATGAGCAGCCCAGCAGCTTCCTGAAGCTCACAATGAGTCGCCGCATCAAGGACAAGATGATCGCACAGCCTAAACTCGTCCCGTACCTCGTACTGCTGCTGCAATCCGAGTCTACTGCGAGCTCAAACACTTTCGATGCCAATTCCATCGTTAAGCGCGTGCTTTATGGCACTGGGTCACGTCGCGTAGTGCTCTTGGAGTTGTGCGACAATTCTGTAGCTCAGAAGTTGCGTGACTTTCTCCATGAGAAGCCTTGTGAGCTGCTAGGTCGACGTCCCATGTACGCAGACTTCGCGATACCCCGCAAAGAGCAGGAAGCACGCGATCGCCTGCTGAGAGTGCACAACGTGCAACGCAATTCAGGTCCTCCGGGACTAAGAGTTCCTGGATTGAAGTTCGGGGCAGAGTTCGTCACTGAAGCGCAAGAAGCTGCTTGTTTGGCTTTCTTTGAGCGGGAGAATGGAGCTCATTGGGCCAACACCATCCGCGCGAGACAGGTGCAGCACTTTGGCTACGAATTTAACTACGATACACGAAGGTGTGACCCGGATCAGCCCATGAAAGAACCCATCCCAGAGGTGCTGCAGCCCGTAATCGATAAGATTGTAGAGTGCGGAATCATGGACGGCGACAGACCGGACCAGATCACAGTGAACGAATATCTGCCAGGACAAGGAATTGCCTTCCATTTGGACACCCACTCAGCGTTTACAACGACAATAGCATCGCTAAGTATTTGCAGCGAAGTGGTTATGGACTTCCGACATCCGGATGGTGTTCGAAATGAAGGCGTGCTGCTGCCAGCTCGTTCGCTGGCTGTAATGAGTGGGGCTAGTCGCTACAAGTGGGAACACGCTATCGTCCCGCGTACATTCGATGTGATAGACGGGAAACAGATCCCTCGACAGCGTAGAGTGAGTATTACGTTCCGGAAGATTCACTCGGGTCCGTGTGAATGCTCGTTCCCGAAGTACTGCGATACTCCGGAACGAGATGGACAAGAAGATGCTCAGGAAGAGGAACTAGACCCTAGTTCGCAGACGACCAGTCTGGCGCCTACTGCAATGGAGAAACAGTACGTTCATGAGTTTTACGAGACGGTAGCTGCGCATTTCAGCAGCACGAGGCATAGTCCGTGGCCGAGAGTTGCTCAGTTTGTAGCATCACTGCCGAGTGGATCGGTAGTCGCTGATCTCGGCTGCGGCAACGGCAAGTACATGAAGTGCGTGGACTCCTCTCATAGCTTTGTAGTTGGTGGTGACCGTAGTTGGCGGCTTGTAAACATCTGTGGGGACAGAGGTCTTGATGCGATGGTGTGCGATGCCCTAGCGGTTCCGTTGCGGTCGAACTCGTGCGATGCTGCGCTGTCGATCGCTGTACTTCACCACCTCAGCACACTAGGACACCGCCTGGCAGCGGTGAAGGAAGTGTTGCGTGTTCTACGTGTGGGTGGACGTGGAATTATCTACGCATGGGCACATGAGCAGATGAAGGGCTCTCGTCGTCGGTTTGAGGATGGGCGACAAGACTTCATGGTACCCTGGAATCTTGACAAGCGCTTTGCATTCTCCAGTGAAGCATATTCGGTTGAGACTGTTGGGACAGACAGAAAGGAGGCCCATAAGAACCCAAGCGAAGATGGAGATGACGAGACGACCACGAAGGTGCAAGAGCCCGTGGTTGTACAGAGATATTGCCACATGTTCAAACAAGGCGAGTTGGAAAAACTAGTGGAGCTTGCAGGTAATGCCAAGGTGGAAGAGAGTTACTACGATGAGTCCAACTGGGTTGTGATTCTTCGACGTGTAAGCTGATCCTATGGCAAAAACGCTCCTGCTGTGATTAGAGTGCCGAGTTAAGAAGGTAATGTCGGTCCGTGCCTCATGACTTCCCACATCTCTTTCTGAGTCGATCCCCTCGGTTCATCATCAGCTTGAGTGTCTGACGAGCTTGCTTTTCGTCGACTTTTGCGCTTTGTCTTGGGGTCCGCTCGCTGCATCTCTTGTTTGTAGGTCAAGTTGTGAGTCGGTAAGATGAATGAAGAAGAATAGGCATCATAGATGCCAGGTCCGATGGTGTGGGCATTGGCGTGGCCCGCTGCAATCATCGAGGTCAACAAGTCTCGACTTGCCACGCTGCCAAAGGCATTGCTTGACTTGCGTCGTAGCGGGGATAGCTGAAAAAAGTCACTTGGGCTGTCACTTATCCCATTCTCGTCTTGATTGGTATTGTGACGTGAATTGTAGCAGCCTGGTCCTCTTCGATACGCTTCAAGCGCAGGTGTATTCTTGGTAAACCGCTGAAAGGTTCGCTCGCGTAGTTCAGGAGATGCAAGACGCTTTCCCAAACGCTGCAGAGAACTCGCGAGTTACGTTATGAAAAACTGAAGGAAAAATTTAAGGGCCATGTACCTCGACGCTTGCACTTAGTTGTTGGTAAGATTTTGCCAGCTCTTTCGAGTACATCGCGGTATCTTTTTTCTGCTGCTGGTGCAGTTGACTGTCACTGCGTACTCGCTGTGAAACAAGTTACTGTATGCATGCTTTTAAAGTACCGAAGTACAAGATCTGCGTACCGTGATAAATGCTGCAGCGTGTGTTGATCGGAACGCTGTGCTTGCCATTGCTGAAGCTGAAGGAACGCCTGTACTGCTTTCGGCACGATAAATTCCTGGTCCTGGACTACATCCGGTACGTCCGAGACTTGCAGTGTTTTCTAGTATCCCATGGCGCTTTTCGTGTGAGAAAGTGAAGGGAGTGGCGACCATTTCTTGGTTTGTCTGTTGTACAAGCTGAAGATTAGAACAACTTCCTTAACGCAGTCGGTATCATAGCACGGCTTACTTCGTAGCTTCCAGGGCCTAAAGCGAGGTGTAACTCTTGAGCCGACATTGCATCCTCATTCCTTACTTTGTTACGATGTAGTGCTGCCCGCTTGCGCTCTGCCAGTACCTCCTTCATTGTGTAGGCTCGAGGAAATTGACCTTCCACTGTTGGCGAGTACGAACAAACATTTGGCTCATAAATTTTTCGCAAATTCTTCAGCGAGTTCTCTTCCAACGCCGTCAAAGCTGTGGCTATAGCTGGTGACGCAGCTGCAGCGGCGACAAATTGGGGCGATGGTTTACATTGCTCATGTCGATGATGTCCAAATGTTCCGCTAAGCTTTTTGCCATCAGGTAACTCCAAGGGCGTGTACGTGCATGGATCCTGAACATACACACACACTCACATGTGAGAGTTGAGCGTTCGTACAATTGCTGATCACCTACGGGTTCACCCTGTCGGTATCGGTTTAAGTCAGGACCAAAACGATCTTCGGTAGCCAGGAAGGCCATATATGCTGTTAGTTCAATAAAAGACGAAGATTCCGAGGGCAATCTTCTTGTGCAAAATGAGAAACGATAAAAATACTTAACCAGGCACGTTTAATTACGAACCCCTAAAAACATAAGGAAGTGTACTCAGACACCTAGCAAAACACTTTCAACTAGGTATTATAGCGGTCTTCTTGACGTTAATTGTTATTCATCTGGAGTTAGAGCTTGCACGTACACATAGTGACGAGTTACTCCAAATTTTAATCTCGAACCGGGCAAAATCATAATGGAATGATTTTTTAAGATTGAACTCTTCAACGAGTGGCTGCATTGCGCGTACGTATCGATCGGCCGCCACAATATTTTCAAGCAGATGATTTACTTAGCCCCAGGTCGTTGTTGGTGCGTGTGCTTCATCGCTACTTTTAGCTAGACGTCAACTCTTCCATCGCTCTCAAAAGGGAGGAGGCTGCTGCTCATGTGTCCTTGCACGTGCACATCGAATTCCTAGCGCTAGACCGCAGGTCACTTCAGATTTCTTGGTTGACCATGGTTACATTTCCTGGGTTCCAAGTGCAAATACATCGGTCCAATTCTCGGACAGATTGCCACCTGCGCGAGCCCAAATATCGGCATCATCCCCAATCAAATGCCGGACTCTGCGAATCGGATCAAGCCACCTCCTTCTCGATCGTCCTCCGATTAACAGTCAGGATAAGGCAGATTCAGACTCGCCCTGTCAGCGTCCCAATACCATAAACACTAGACTACAGTAGAGTATTATGCTTCTCCGTGTGCGAATGGCACAGTTCCGCTATGCTCACGGCAAAAACCTCCTTTGTGTACGCATTTCTTGCAGCCATCAACCGGGCACGACTTCTGTCCACCATGTAGTCTGCACTTGCTTTTTACTTGTTGTCGCCGATTGCATCCGTCCACAATGCACAACTTTCCATCTACACCTGCATGTTCACGACACAGACCAGCTCTGTACACAAACTTTGGGCACGCTCGCACTCGACAACTCTCCTTGCCACCGTGGATCCTGCATCGATGGTTGACTTGTTCCCTGCTAGTGCATCCGTCTACGATGCATAACTTTACGCCTCCTCCTCCACCGTGAGCTCGACACATCCCTTTACTATGAACAGCTTTCTCACAACCATCGACTTGACACTGTGTTCTTCCTCCATGAGTTCGACATCGGCCTCTTGCTTGCTCTCGACGGTCGCAGCCTTCCACGAGGCACAACCGACCGCCTACACCACCGTGTGATCGGCACAAACCTGTTCGCTGAGGGTAACTCGGACACCCGTGGACATCGCAGTGCCGCTTAGCAGCTTTTGGCGGTGCAGACATTCTTGTCCTCGTAATTCTTTAAATACAAAACTTAAGTTGATAAAAAAACAGGCTTTGAATTTTTGTCACAAGTCACAGATTTTCTGATACAAAGTTCACGCCTCTACGTGTAGATCCAACCACAGACTCAAGTCCTGAGTTGGCGATAGCTCGGCTTCCGAGACGTCTGTCGCGTCGGATCTGACTGAGTGATGCTTTATCGTGCTCTGCTTGGCGTGGGTGGGGACGGAATCCTTGGCTTGAGTTTCTGCGCAACTATTCTGGAGCATTTGCTGCTTCTGTCGCCGACGAATAGCCTTGCGGCCGAACTGGCTGCGCTTGCGCTAATGCAGCAGGTTAGCAAGTTTAGCAAGTTCAGTTGAGCTTTTACTTAACCTTCGCCTCTACTCCTCCTCACCTGTGGTAACGCAATGTCCAACGCCCGCGGCCAGTCACCCAGCTCTCCAAACTTGATCAGCACGTCAACAACAGTGTTCACGTTCAAGATATGGTCCAGCCTTTCCGTGTAGTGTTCCTGAATCGGTAGACGGACAGTTGTAATGCCTGCTTCAGTAGCCGCGTTGAGTGATGCTCCCTGCATCATGACAAGCAGTATTCGTTGTGAGTTCCTGGAAAATACGTTCAATGTAGCGCAAAAGCTTGGCTGCATTTAAGCTGCATCTAAAGTGGACGCAACAATTTTACAGCGCTTGCCTTTTTACGGGACTTGTCCACAATGCCGCCAATCACGTAGATCTTCGTGGGGTCCATTTTCTCGAGCACATTCGGTGAGTCGGGGGATAAATACACAAGTTCCCCGGGTGGGAAGTGCTCTGCAACGCTGGCAGTTCCGCGTCGCCATTGGATGTACCAATTGCTGGCGCCAAAGCGCTCAAGTGATTGTTCCAGTTGCTCGCTGGGGTTGCAACAAACCAATTGGAACGGCTCTGGCATCTGCTTGATTAACCCATAGCTGAGCTTTAGCTGGTTGGCTAGACTTCGAATCTCTTTGTCGTTCATGATGCTGTCGAAGCTCAAATCAATGGCGATGCGCTGAACGGAGCTGTCCGCTGTCACCGCGCGCTGCAGACGCTGCATCGCTTCCTCCTTCTCCGCGGTTTCTTGAATCAAGAACTCCCGACGCTCCTCTATTTCATTGTCCCAGATAATTGTAATCAAGTCAGTATCCAACGCACAGTCCTCGCTATCACGGTTAACCAGACGAACCTTTCGTCATGGAATGTAGGAGCTCGAAGCGCGCCTTCTTCTGACGCTCACGCGCCGGTCGCTTTGCCTGCAGCAGTGAATTTCTTCGAGGGGGTTGGGGGTTCATAGGGAGAGATGTAGATGCAATGGCGGGGACTTCATCGACCTCGAAGGCGCGGGCAAAGCCATCGCTCGAAGACTCGGAAGTCGGTATCATTTTGTGGTCAAAACGTGGCTGGTGAGTTGGGTAATTACTTTGGGTGTGCCAAATCTTTTGGATTATAAGAAACGGTTGGTCTGGTATGCTGCTGTCTAAGGCGTTGGGGTGATGGCTACATGTACTCCTTGAAGTTGTCATCTCTGCTTGAAGTGATGCAGTTCTCGCAATGCCAGCCAAGTCCAGCGCAAAAACCTTCGTCTTTGGCTACATGGAGTGCAAGCAACTTGCCTCATTTAAGGCCATCCTATGGCACAAATCAACAAAGCCCGCCTCTGTGAATAAGTCAGTTGCTATAATGCAGGTATTCATGCCGGACGTACGTACAGTACAGGGATCGACAGTCGATGGCTTGTGTACGTCTTCGTTTTAATACTAGAATCATCAATTGAGCTACATGTAGCTCTTATTACATTTGTGGCGCGAGATACGGTAAACTACACCGTATCTGGCGCCATAATGAGCAACGATGGATACGAAAGGCCCTTTCGTCACTTCCCAAGGTGACTTCCGCTCAATATACCAGGTACACTCTCGTCGAAAGCGATTACATCGTCGCCACACTGCACAAGCACGCGGTAGGATAGCCTTACGCTAAAGCGGAAGGAGCTCTATGGCAACTCGCACCGTCCACGCTGCGCCAAGCCGAGTGAATTCCAACAAATGTGCACTCGAACGAACTTGCTGATTCCACCACCATGTCGAGGCGTCGAGCCTTGATGTATGGTGGGACCAAGAGACTTTCTCTTTGCCATACGAAGAACGCCATCAAGATGCGAAGGCAGTGAATACATGTACTGTACAGTACAAGAGCGCTGAGCGCGAGCAGTGCATCCGATGTCCATAGCTGCTATGGCAAAGCGTTATCATACGCTTGGGCCTTTGTGTCAAGGCCCTTGACTCCATGCCGTGCCTTCTGGTTTTAAGCAACATGCCATCCATCCCTAGGCATGCACACTCACTGGAACTCGCTGAAATAAAAGCTCTCACTGCGCCAAATGCTCGCGTTTGAAGCGCGGTGACACACATCTTCAATGGGCATTAGACCGAGGGCAAGGTGAGCTTGACGTCGTCCCGTTGCAAGCAACGGAGATGGGCGTCAAGTGTCCGGTCCAGAACAGATTTTTATCCAATCAGGATCCTATTCGATTAGACCTGAAAGTGTACACAAACTTGTCGGTCTCTTCAATTTCAATCCTTCTGAAATGCATATCCTCGCCAAGTCACACAAACACGAAATAAGCAATCTGATATAATACCTTTATTCTCGTTGAATTATCGAATATACCTGTCAAAGCTGCTATCGGAGCTCTTGGTGGTCGGGTTGTGGGCAGCAAGTCACGCATGAGCTGCGCGGACGAGGGCACAACGCGGCCGCAAGCCTCGCTCCGGGGCCACAACCAGCGCTTCCTTGTTCGCAGCAGCTGAAGCAATGGCCTTGGCCGAGGAGCCTGCAGTTGCACCCGCGGCACTGGCATCGCCCAAGCTCAAGAAGGCGCCCACCGCGGTCACGGACACTAGCAGCACCTCAAGCAGCAGCGATAACGAGAAGAGCGCCAAGCCTTCAGCCGAGTTGCTCCAGAAGGAGCCACTGGTACAGCCAACGCGCCGCTCCCTTCGCGCGGACTCGCTTGGTGTGGACCGCAGCTCCCGTCCGCACTTTAAGGAAGGAATCCGTCTAGCCGAGATGGGCAAGTGGGGCACTCTCATCGACCGCGTGGCGTCCGATCCGCAGCTCGCGCGCCACAAGGACCACCACGGCATGCTACCTCTTCACTGGGCTTGTACAGAGGACGATACTCCACCAAAGTCCGTGCGTGCGCTGCTTGCGGCCTTCCCCGAGGCAGTGATCACCAAGAACAACGCGCAGTATCTGCCCATCCACATCGCAGTGAAGGCGCGTGCACCCGTGGAAACACTCAAGCTACTGGTCGAAGCACGACCGAGCTCGTTAATGGAGGAGACCCCTGCGGGCAAGACGGTGATTCAGCTAGCCAAGGAGATGCAGCTCCCCCAGGGTGCCCTGGAGATGCTCCAACGTGCCGAGCAGGACTATCTGGACCTAAGCGAGGACGACGACGAGGCTTTTGACTACGAGGATGTCAAGCGTGAGATCGAAGTGCAAAGCCAACTCCTGCGTGAAAGCATGCTACACCCACCGTCGATGAGCGGCCCAAACGCTTCTTTGCCGCCGTCGAACCCCATCGGCGCCGCGTTCGACCTTGGCGCGTCGCAGAACCCGTTTGAGAACAGTCAGAACATGGTCACGACGCTCAGCTTTGTGGATGGCACCCTTGTGCAGTCGCAGTGCAACTTGTCCAAGTCCGTGTCGCTTCCTCGCAAGACGGAGGGACCCACGCAAGTGGTGACGGACACGTTGTCCCCGTCCCCGCCGCCGACGTCGGTGGCCACACAGCCACGTGGCGCGCCCGCACTGGGGCCAGGACGATCTAAAAGTGCGCGTGATATCAATCAAGCACCAGCGCCCGCAGCTTTCGAGGAGTCTTCTTTCGGACGACCGATCTATGAGCCCGACCACAACGCCGGAGTATGTGGCGTATGCTACAAGAAATTCTCCATGTTCCGCAAGAAGTACCAGTGCAAGGGCTGCTTTACGTATTTGTGCAAGAAGCACGTGGCTGGGAAGATTCTGCTGCCGAATTACTCCAAGAAGCGCTCAGTGTGCGGTGACTGCTACCGGATTCACCGGAATGGACCCATGTCGGCAAACACTGCGTCGGGAGCTACCGGTACGCGCGCCGCACGCGCGTCAGGCAGCCACATTTCTGGCACTGGTCCTCCCAGTGATAAGAAGGGCCCGAATCTACGCACAACGACGTCGCTACCGGCTCCGTCGACGGTGTCTGCACCATCAACCGTGGCGGAAGCAACCGACACGATCAGCGCCAACAGCAGCATGCTGTACAACAACACTCGCCCGAGTAACCCTCTCGGATCTCGACTTAACAGCGCCCGAACAACGCGTGCTGATTCTACGCACTCAATGGTGGGCCGGCCGTCGAACGTCCCTGGTCCGCAGATGAACCTGCGCTACAGCACTAACACCGCTGGCGCACGGCCTAACCGCGTGCCGAGTGGAGGCCGCACCCACGGTTGCAACACTTCGATCAGCGACACGACTGTGAGTCTTACGGACAGCGACCACCAGGCTGCTGATGTGAGCGCTCTACAACATCGCATTGCAACGCTGGAGGAGTGCAACAAGATTCTTATGACTCGCGTGGCAGACCAGGAGAAACAGTACAACGAGGCCATGTTACTTCTTACCACGACGATGACTCGTGTGGCCGAAATGGAGATCCGTCTCCCCAATGAACAACGCAAATCGTACCGAGGAACGGGAGGCTCCACCACGGCATCGGAAAGGGCATCCGAGGTGGATAACAATGAAAAATTCTCCTTCGCGACCCCGTTCATCGAGAAATACGACTGAATGCAAGCATACGAGTGAAGTATTAGTATAGACGTCGCGTGCTTGTAAAGGAACCAGTCCTCTCAACGGACTTTGTTACTACTGACGTATCGATAGACACGACAACAAGAGATTTGAGTGGTAGGCTTGCTAACGTACGCAGCAGGCTATGGAAGATTATTATGTGAACAATGTAATGTGTCAGCATTCTTGTCGAAGACGAGCTTGTTCAAGTGCAAAACTTGCCGTTGGCTTTGAGTTGGAAATGCGCATACTGATGAAGTGCTCCATTAATAGGCTAGGGCATAAGAAGTGAAGGTAAACCGGTCTTTTGTGTCATCGACCTATCCTTTTCCTATTGTTAGAGCTCGAGAGTAACGAGAGGAATTGATGTTTTTATTTAGGTGTGGCTGTCTATCAATCTCCCACTTTCGAATCTGCAGAACCAGCGCAACCAACTCGCGATGAGTGACCCGTTTGATTTCCTCAACCCGATTGCGTCGACCAAGACCCCAGCTGAGAAGGTTCTTAGTCAACCTAATCATGCTCCAGGTGGAGTTCCTCCTGCTCCAGTAGCGCCAATGAACACCGGAATGGGCATGAACATGGGAATGTCCGCTACTCACGGCAACATGGGAATGGGTATGAACACGAACATGAACATGGGCGCCCCACCTGCTTTCAACGGTGGTGGCATGAACATGAACATGGGTGGCATGATGCCAGGACAATTCGGTGCACCTGGAATGGGTCTCGGAATGAATCAACCGATGAATCCGTTCGGTCAGCAACCTCCAGCTCAACAAGGCCCCATGTACGACAACATCAAGAAGCTCCTCGAGAAGAAACCCGTAGTCGATGATGCATCCATGGACTTTTTGGAGAATCTTGGTGGTGCGAAGAGTTCGAGTCATCCGACGATGGAACCTGTCCGATCTCCGGAGCACGCAGCTCCTGTGAATCCGTTTGGTGCACCTCAACCTCCAGCTGAGCTAGACTTCAGCTTCCTTGGTGGGGGTGCCCCACCTACTTCTGCTCCGATCCAGCCAGCGTCGCCAGCTTCTGGAAGCAAGTCAAGCGCTCTTGCAAGCCGCCTCGCTCACGGTAAACGACCAACCCAAGAGGCTGCACGGAAGAACCTCGGATTCAACGCAGGTGCATTTGCTAGCTCTGGTCACGCGAAGATTTCACTCAAGACAGTAGCGGGGGCCCCTGCTTCATCGGCCCCTACCGGTGAGCCCACTCTTGATGATTTCGCTGCTGGCAATGCACCGTTGGCACCAGTCGACGATATATTTGCAGCCACGCCAACTAACCCTCCTGCGAATCCTGCCACATCGAGCTCCAATGACATTTTCTGGTAGAGCGGAGCGAGTTACTCAAGGAGCGACACCTTCGTCGTGATATCTAACAAATTCAATCTACCCAATCTTTCCCTTACGTCTTTAAATTCATGTAAATAAATTTTCTTACAGTATTAATTTGAGTGATATCATTCAGTTTGTTCACGCTTCAGCGATTGCCCCGGCAATTATCCGTTTTGCCCCCAATCAGCTCTAATTATGTCCGTTGTGAGCCACGCAGTCCCAGTCAGTGTGCATGAAGGTTGTTGCTATATTTATGAAGGAGTTGGGACGTTGGTAGCTTCACCACAAGCCTCAGAACTACTTTCTCGTCATCGCTCAAGCGTCCAATTCCAGCATATTTTTTCTTCATTAATCCGTTGACAAACGCGTAACAATGAATGACCCGTTTGCTATGCTGGACCCGGTGCAGAAGTCTGGACCGTCGTCCAATACCGGGACTGGTGCATCGAACTTTGCCACGGCTCCAAGACCAGCTTACTTACCGATGGCCAACCCTTTCGACAATTTCGCGAGTGCCAATCCTGGAAACTCGATGATGATGCCTCAGCAGCAGCAGTCAATGTATCCAAACGGTGCTAACTTCATGACTCAACAGGGCCCCCCAGCATTTGGTGGTCTTGGTGGTGGAAACCAGCAATTCGCCACATACACTCCGTACCAGCAGCAAATGCCAACACCCGCCCCCGTAATGATGATGCCACCACCACAAATGCAAATGCAGTCACAGATGCAGCCGCAATTTCAGCAGAACCAGAGCAATGCCCCCACCAAGCTGATGCCAATGCCGACCTATGGGGGAGAGCCAATCATGTACGACAACATCAAGAACGTCATGAAACCAGCGGACCCGTTCTCCACAGCCCCCAATCTCGCAGTGATTCGTGCCCCTGAGCACACGTTAGCTTCACCGCAGCTGCACCAAACGCGAGATACAAAGTCTACGGTCGTCGACTTCGACCCCTTCAGCCCCAAAGGCGCCACACCCCGGACGCCATTCGACTTTCCTGACGATGCCACAGCCACGAACACCTCCAATGACCGCTTTTCATCTTTTGGAGGCAAACGTCCAACTCAAGAAGAGCAACGATCGCAATTGGGCTTCTCGTCGGAGGCCTTCGCGGCTGCTTCAGCCAAACCGTTGCAGCACAGACTCTCGCTTAGAGATGTCAACAACAACACCAACACCAACAACGACGACAATAGCCCCTACTTCCTCGAAGGTAATGACGCCTTTATGCACTCGAATTTCGCCAATCTGGATGACTTTGAGACAAACACGACAAGAAGAGGCAGTTCAAATGAACGCAACGCAGCAAGTCCGTCCATGGAGTCAACTAGCCATGGAGAGATCCCAGAGGAATGTTGCAAGGACGAATACGATGTTCGCTTTGAAAGTGGCCGTAAGCTTGGTGTTCTTATGGAACGAGTTGACGTTTGGAACGCGGCCAACCAGCGCAAGGAGACTGCTGTGGTGAAACTTGTGGTTGAGAATGGCTCTGCCGACCGCGTGGGTGTGAGTATCGGTAGCACCGTGGTGGCTATCAACCGGAAAAGCGTAGAGAACGAGACCTACATTGCCATTTTGGATATGATCAAGGCTGCTCCACGGCCTTTACGCATGCGATTCCAGCGCGGTCCTCAGAGCAAGGACACCACACAGGGCACTGTTCTTACTAGAATTTCCAGTACGTGCATGCAACGTTTTGTATACTGCTACAGGTTGACGCTAACGCTGTGAACCTGCTCAGATGGCACATTTAGTGTTGGCAACCTTACATCGGGCAATGCGTCGTGGACAACCAAGTATTTTGCCTTTGGAGGTTCAAAGATGGATGTTCTTCAGCTCTTCGTGTCCCGAGCAGCCTACCACGAGGTGAGCTCTAATTCTCTTGACCATATTCCTGCACGAGCATCTTACCAAAACCTCTCTCGCTGCATTGTGGTACTAGTGTGTGATAGCTTTGTACGAAAAGCGAGGCGTGCACACGCAGATCCAGTCCTTCCGTTTGTGCCGAGACCACAAGATCTCACCGATCAAGTGCAAGATCTACAAGGGTTACGGTGTGTTGCGAATTTTCACTTATGTTTAATAACCACTCAAAAGGGCTCACCCTTACTTGCAATACCAATAGGAAATCTGCACTACTTCTCGCTGACGGTGCCCTCGCTACGCTTTGTGGCTGCCAAGTTCGCAAGTGACGACTACGCGACCATCAAGAACATTTGGTCCAACACTTACGACGCCATTGAACGCAAGAAGCGCATGGCGTACTGAGAACGTCCTTGCCAACTCACTCCTTCGTCGTCTCCTTGCAGCAGCTATAGCCACCAAATCTTGCTCAACGAAACTTTTTACCACTGTTCTTCTATCTTCACGAACGATCAATAAGTATCAATATTAATACCGTTACCAGTAATGGTCTACATTGGATAAGAATGATGTACGAAGAATCCATGCAATCCACAATCAAAAATAGTGTTAAGAACTAAAGCTTAAACTTGTCACGCGTGGCGTTCTCCTCTATTCCGGGACCGCATCGTCTTCGAAAACGTCTCAACCATGGACTTCCCAATTGGACTTGAAGCTGTCGAGCAGAGCATCTCGACGCCCCCACTGCAGAAGCTCCGTTGAGCTCTTTGTGTAGCAGTCGTCATGAGTCGACTTGTACAGATTGCGCAGCGCTCCAACAAAGCCCCCGTGGGGTTCAAGGTGCAACTTGTAGTGCATCGCCTGAATGCAAACTTGGCACTCAAGCACAACTCCGAGCTGGTCGCTGTCATTATGGGTCGAAAGAAGAAGATCCCCACGAAGCCTGCACCGTACCAACCAGCGGACCCCGGGGATGACGGATCGTTGAGACGGTTAAACGGATCGAGAGCAGTTCAGTCGTCACAGTCAAGAAGTGGAGACACCGGTGAAGTGATTTGGGGTGACATGGTCGCCTTCTCCAGCACACTCTACATGGCCAAATCGGGTCTCTTCCAAGCCAAGCGCTTCCAGATCCACGTCAGCACAGCAGGCGAAAACGGTAGGACAGTTGCTATATTCGAATTCGATTTGGCCGAACTTGTCCCTCTTTCCAAAGATTCGGGCAAGGAAAGCGTTCGTTTGAACACCACCAAGTGTCCTGATGACCCCCGAGCTTGCATCTCGCTCACCGTCGTAAGCTCACGTGTGAACCGGGATGGAACGGGCCAGGACAAGGAAAGATCATACATGGACGACAGTGCCAGCGAAATAGGATCGGAGATGTCGGCCTACACGAGCCACAGTCGAGCATCGTCGTTGGCTTCAAACTGCCGCCGTAACATCGAAGTGCCCATCCCAGAGCATATTGGAGACGGAAAAGCTGATGTTATTCGCGTCGCGGGACACCCAGCGTCATCGGAAGAAGCATCAGCAGCGACTGACAATGCACGTGATGAACTGGTGAAAGCTCTGCAGAACCTTGAGGCTCAGCTTCGCGAGAGTGAGGCTGCCAACGTGAAGCTTGAAACTACAATTGAGCAAAAAGACAGAGAAATCGACCGCCTTACGAGGATGGCAGCAGGTCTTGGTGGGTCGAGCTCGGAAGCTGAAGATGGGGTGATGCAGGTGGACTTCCTCGTCTACATGACGCTAAAAGAACAGTATGATGCGTTAAAACTTCACCACGAGAGCTGCCAGACTGCTACAAAGGAGATTGTGGATGCTCACCCTGCTACCGGAATGTACACGATCGCTGATGTGGAGAACGATGATGAAGTGAGTAAAGAGGAAGCTAATGAAACCAAGAAGGATGTTAAGGATGATGCCTCCGAAGCTTCCTCAGCTAACGAGTACATGGACGCAGAGGAACCGCACTTGGTCGCTGAGGTTAATGCCCTCAAGCGGATGCTTGAGTCGCAGCGCAGCGAAGCACACCAGCTTAATATCACTATCAAGGAGCTGACATTGTCAAATAGCGAGCTGGAGACTCAGCTTCGTGACCTCCGAGCTACGATCAAGCAAAAGGACGAGGAATTACAGGAGTCCACAGCAGCTTTACAACGGGCCGAATCTGTGCGCAATGAGGTTAGTGACGACTCTACAGACGCTGAAGCACAAGCTGCGCTGGAGACTGCTCTGAGCGACAATAAACGGCTAGAGAAACAGCTACTCAAGTTTGATGGTGCCATGACTGAGTTGGAGGAGGAGAAGGCGAGGTTGATGATCCAGCTGCGGGAGGCAGAGATGGCGAGTGCCGTTGCCCAAGGGGAGATTATTAAGGTGCAGAGTGCTCTCGATCGGCTCGAAAGCAAGAGTCAAACGCTGTCTACTCAGCTGCAGGAGGCTGACCAAGCACGTGAACAAGCTGAGGAGAACATTGTAGCGGCTGAGGCCACAATCGATACATTGCAGCAACAGGTCCGTGACGTATCAACGCAGTTGCACGAGACACAACACGAGCTCGAAACGCTACGTGAGAACCAGTTGACTGCGAGCTCAGTAGCACTTGAGGAGGCTATGGCCAAGCACCAGGCGCTGGAGCGGGTATGGGAAGACGTGAAGACAGAGAACGAGCGACTTCAAGCCCGCGTCGAGGAGCTCGAGTTCCGTTTGGCGCAGTCCGAAGCCAACGGTGAAGAGAAGACGGCAGAGTTGCAGGCGCAGGTGGTCAAGGTGAAGCGCGAGGCGGACGCACTGCGCGAAGAGCTCGAATCTCTGCGTGCTTCTAAGACGTTGGTCGAGAACGAGTCGCTGGAGCGCGAGCACAAGCTCCAGGAGGCGACTGAGACTCATCGTCGCATCTCAGTGGACCACGATGAGCGTCTCAGCTCCGAAGTTATGGCGCGTGAGGAGCTGCTCACACGCTTGCAAGAACAAATGCAACAGACCGAGAAGATGTCAGCAGAGCTGAGTGCCAAGGTGGTGACGCTCCAGCTGGAGCTGGATTATTTCCAAGGCGAGCTTATCGAGAACAAGATGAAGGTGGCACAACTCACACAGGACAACGACGACCTAGCTATCCGCAACCGCCGCCTCGAAAAGGAGCTTGCTGCGAACACGAAGAAGTAGACGCTATGATAGCGCCTATCCAATAACTTCAACTCTCACGATTGGCAAATGTAGCCATGTGTCAATGGTCATCAATGATGACTCATACCACACATCTGGGACACTAATGAAGTTGTGTTTATCACACGAGATTATGTCATCACATTATTTTTATGGTGTGGCGCACATGTCGTTGCATTGCATAGTGAGCCTAATACAAAGTCAGTCCCAAATTTTCTCGAGGCGTTGACCGCACGCCGCCTGTAGGTGAGGGGAAGAGGGAGAGCATACTCAGCGCTGGCCCAGGATGGATCTGTTCGCTCGCGCACGCAGCGTCATCGACCACCGCGGAGCATCCGCTGCGACGCGGCGTCAAAGTGTTGAGCAGGACGCGCGTAACACACAGGACGATCAAGAGCAGGACCAGGATCGCGTTTTGGGTGGTCCGCAGGCCAAAGTACGCGCTCTTTTGGACGAAATGCTGGCTAGTGCTTCTTGGGGAGAAAAGGAACACGAGGGAGAAGAGCGTCGCCTGTTAAATGAGCTGCAGACCTGCGTACTGGACGCCGAGAGTCGCCAAGCGCTGGAGCAACTGCCCAAACGCATGTGCGCCTACGAATTCAAGCCTGGAGATATCGCATGGAACTGCAAAGTGTGCCAGGTTAGGACAATATCTTGCAGGAGTAAGTCGATACCTTGAGGGCTGACCAGGATGAATATGTTGTTGTTAGGTGGATGAGACGTGCGTGATGTGCAACGACTGCTTTATATCCAGCGACCACGAGGACCACGAGGTTTTCTTCTATTACACACATAGTGGGGGCTGCTGCGACTGTGGAGACACTGAAGCCTGGGCGCCCGAAGGATTTTGTACACGACACAAGGTGAGCGAGCTCATAGGAGTTTAAGGAGATACCGAGATGACTGACGTTTCTGTATACTGTAGGGAGCACAAGACGCTGATCCTCTGAGCTTCTTACCGCCAGATCTGCTGGCAAATTCTCGGGAATCTATCGGTGAAGTGATGAAATTGGCGCTGGATTCTGTCAAAGAGGCCAGGTTCGGCTCCGTGATTAATGAAGATGATCTCGAGGTCATGCGCGACAAACTGGGGAGCGAGGCGCCTGATAGACGCTTTTCGGTTATTGTGCACTACAACGAGCTGCAGACGTCCCAGGAGTTCGCCACGGCGCTGAATAAAGCCCACCCTGCCATTGCTGTACGTCACTTACATACTGGGTGCTGGTTGAACTGGGAAGTCTGATGGATTTACTGTTTGTGTGTGCGTGCTTGCAGTATCAAATGCTCAAGATCGTCGGTGAGACGTCGTCGCAGAAGCAGAGCACAGTGCGTGCAAAGGCTTCTCGCGAAGATGTTCTAGAGCTTGCGGCTTCATTGCACAAGCACGGCATTGTGACTTCTATTGTATCATGCGACTACAAAGCAAGAGTGCCGCTCATCAACTCGCTGCTGCAGTGGCTTGCTTCGCTTGCAAACCTTTCTGATGGTCTTTGTCGACTTATTTGTGAAAAGGTACGGCTCTAAAAATTAATTTTCTCATGCTATATAACTCGAAAAAATCTAACGCACAGATTCTTTGGACCCCGCAGATGTGTGCTGTAGACAGTTTAAAGCACACCGAGAGCAGTATGGAAGTGGACGAAGCAGACGATTACCCGATGCTTCGAGCTGTTATTATGGCCGACTCGTTCCTGCCTAAAACCGAGAGCGACGCTCTTCACAGCCTACTGATGGCTCTCCTGGCCGACCCTCTGTTCAAACAAGCGTTCGCCATCTCATTTACGTCGTCGTACCGCCAGTTGTATCGAGAATTCGCAGCGGGAGTGGGCAGCTCGACCTCGACGATATTAGCATTCAGCGTGCAATTTTTCAACCGAGCGACTTTTGTGAAAAAGCTGGTGGCCGAGTACGATCTGCTGGAAGTGCTGGTTAACTCGGTACTTGAAACTCTGCGCAAGAAACCTAGAACAGACTTTATCGATATTGCGTTCGAGGACACTTGGAATAGCATGATACATGTGTTGCATCCAGACCACAACCGAGAGCTCGATGTGTGGGATGTATTTGCGATGGAGATCCAGCGCTCGCAAGGCTCTACGTTACGAGATGTCAATGTGAGCGCGCTGGTCTTGGAAGCTGAACGTGCAGGTTACCGTATCAGGCATCAGAGGAAGATGTCGCCATTTCTTAGCTTACCGCCGGAAACTGAACTTACGGGACGGTTCGAGCTAGATGTCACGTCACCAGTGTTCGTGTACCGCCGCTACATGTCCGGCTTGCTGGATCTGCGCTATGTTTTGCAGATTGAAGGGATCTCAGAGAGCTTTGTGCTGGAGAAAGGAGGCTCTCGCTTGGCTCGATTTCTGCTGTATCTAGCTTACATCCAAAGCGCGTGCTCGGAAGCTCGACGATTCGGAGATCACGTGGAAATGGAGTCACGTGGGTGGGTTGTGACGGTGGAATTTGTATCGACGACGTCGGATGTGTCTTCGTGGGTTGTCTCGAACGCCTTCAAGACTGCTGGAGGACCCGAAGCAACGCGCTCCCCGGAGGCATCGCGGCGTCTAATTGCAAAGTTAGCAAAACCCATATTAGAGGCGTATCTCTTCTGGTTAGCATCAAGTGGCAAGTACTTCCCTCCCCCGGACTACCAGGTTGGTGATACGCTCCGTGCCGACCAGATCGAGACTGCAGTGTCGTGTCATTTCCCCCTTCAACGCACATTCTCGCAGCTGATTCGTGCGTTAAGTGACTCTGCATATGGCCTGGATATTTTCTTGTCGATGGTTCAAAGCCGAGTGCTAGAGGACGATGAATCGGTGTGGGTTCACGACTCTGACAGTGCGATTGGGTTCTGGCATCGCGTGCATCTTATTGAGCCTGTTCTCCAAGCTATTGTATGGGACGCTCAAGTGCATTCTGGCTTGTGGGTACGCAACGGCATGTCGGTGATTAATCACAGTATGAACTATGGTGAACCACCTTTTTGTGCGCGATTTCGCGATCTGGATTTGCTGTTGCTGCAGTTTAGCTTTCAAATCTTGGGTGTTGATTGGGTGATGGCGTCAATCATGCAGCGGTTTGACGTCGAGGAGTGGTATGAAGCAGCACAGAGCGCTGATGCGAAGGAGGCAGAGCTGATGGTGACCGAGTGTCTGGCACTGTTGTCCCAGCTCGCGTCGGAGCTACCTCCTAAGGTCATAGATGGCGACGCGATGCGCAGTTTGATCCCGTATCTGCGTCGAGAAATCGTCCAGCGTCTGTGTGTCGGTCCCTGCGCTCACAGCGACTTGTCCAAGATCGCAAACGAGTTTTTCGCCAGTCGCGAGAACCTGTTCCCTGCCAGCTTCTCAGGAGGTCCCGTGCTCGATCAGATCTTAAAGGAGGTGTGTGTGGAGGCAGGCTTCTCGGCGTCGTCCGGATCAGGAGACTCGTCTGCACCGGGTGGAGGCAAATTCCAGTACCGGTTGAAGCCGGAGCTGTATGCGGAGTATAACCCGACATTTGTGCATTTGACGCGCAAGCAACATGAGTCAGCTCATGAAAATTGGTTCCAGCACCGTCTTCGTTCGTCCAAGAAGCGAGAGCAAGAGCAAGCAGACGGCAGTCCGAACAACACTCACTCGACTTGGCTTGATTATCCGATGGTGAACATGTTTTTGCCGTGTCCACTAGGCTTCCGGTTGTCCCGTATTTCGATTCTGCACGACGACGTGCGGAGATTGGTATATGAGTCGCTGTGGCGTGCCACGACTGATGCCCATAGTAGCCTCAGTGTTCTCTCGCGAGCTGTGCACTTGTTCACATTGCAGCTGTATGTTGTGGAAGACGTACGGTATTTCCAGACGATGATTCCTGCCTCAGACGCGGAGAACTTTGAACGTGAGCGCGCTTCCCGGATAGCTGATAGCTTCATTGAGTGGATTCCTCAAGAACAGCCGAGCTTGTTCTCTAGTGCGGAGCCACGCTGCGCGATATTGAATTTACTACTGAAGCTGAACCCTTGGTCCAGTCATGGCGGTAGTGCAAGCATGACGAAGTTGGACGGCGATCAGAAGCACGAAATTGGGCGAGGGATTGATTGGCTACTGCATCGACTGTCGCGCATTAGTCCTGAATGCCGAAGTGTTGTGGAACAACATCAAGTAACCGAACAAGAGTCGCGGGATGAAGCTGCACGCAAGTTGGCGCTGGCAGAAAGACGTAAAGAGGCACAGATGCGTGCGATGAGGCAAATGCAGCAGCGACAAGCAGCTTTTGCTGAGCAGATGAAGGCGATGGCAAACGAAGCTGACGCTGTCGGTGAAGAGGAAGTTGGTGTGGAGAGTGAACGCGACAAGCACGCACACAATGCAACTGATGCAGTCGGGGACGATAGTGATGTGGAAATGGATGACAACGAGTCTACGATGAGTGACGACGTACCCGCCGTGGAGTGCGCTATGTGTCACTCGGTAAACTCGGAGAACAGCTTTATGTGCTACGTGGGTTTTGCTCAATGCTCGCCTGTGCTGTCTCGACTAAATGGAGGCTCGCATGGGCAGTATCTGAGTACACCTATGGACGAGATGCACGTCGGTGAAGACATTCCTGTGCATGTACGTCTCTGTAGCCACTCGGTGCATCACAAGTGCTGGGAATCGTATCATACGTCGCAGTTTCAACGTGCAATTACTGGTGGACATCATCGCCACGCTTTGAACGCTGTTGATGTCACTAAGAAGGAGTTTTTGTGTCCGTTGTGCAAGTCAATCTCCAATGTATTGATCCCAACAGCAACCGATGAAGAGAGCAAGTTCCACCCAGCTATGAAGCGCAAAGTATCAGTCGATGGCAGTGGCGAAAGAGTTATGTCTACCGTAACGCAGTTAGAGATGGTTCGCTGGCTGGAACATGCTGTCGGAAGAAATACACAGACTCACACGGCGGATATGAATGGCTCAACTGATAGCAGCGAGGATGCAAGTGCGATGCTATTGGAACAGAAACCTGCTTCGATCTCGTCTGGTGATGACGATCCTGGTGACGCGGTGCAGCTGAACAAGTGGCTGGAGAACGGACTGGCTTCTCTGTGCATGGCGATTCACAAGGTGGCGTGCGGGGCGATGCAGAAGTCACAGCCAGAACGCTATACCACCTCAGGTTGCAACGCTCTGTTTCACACTTTGCTGTGCTCTTTCTTAGATACCCACAACACAGATCAGCTGCGAGAACACCTCTTCTTGGAAGCCATGCGCTTCCTCCCGTTGATGCTGAATCATGTCAACACACGTCTCCCTCCGAATGCCTCGGTGGCCCCGACGGATTTGTACGCGAGGATCCTGCACTTGTTATTCTACGGCGGCTCGGATGTTCTTCCGGATGGCACAGTGGTGCTGGAGAGTGAACACCCGAGTACACAGACACAAACACGGAAGCAGAGTCAGTGGGGGAAGGTGCGATGGCCGCAGAAGCCGTTGTTGCTTAATCACTTGGGAAGTGTGTTGATGAAGGGTCTGCTACTGGCGAAAAGCGAGGAAGATGCGGTGTTTATTGCTCGGCTTGTGGTGCTTGCACGTCTTGTACAGACGCTGTTGTGGTACTCGATCACACGTAAAGAAGAGTTTACGAATACGATGGCAGATGATCTCGCTTTCTCGGAGGAAAATGTGACGTTCTTTACGGCTTGCTTTACTGGCGAGAGCGGTGAAGATGGAGGTCACCGTGAGGACGCTGTGGGACGCCAGTTAGAGTTACTTCTGGGGACACTTATGAGGAAATGTGATGGCGCTTTCGAAGTGGAGTCGATTGCAGATAAACGCCAGCTTCTGAACGTCGTTGCGTGCGAAGTTGTTCCTCTTGCCAAGGTGGCCACATTTATGATTCAGTCGTTGACAGAACGAGCTCGTGTCGGGACTACAGCGGCTTTGAAACCAATATTTATTACGCAAGAAGACGTCGACGCTGTTGGCTTTGTGCGACTGAGTGCGTTGCAGCTCGATGATCAACAGGAGAACAGCAATTCAGAGCAGACTGCTCTCTCCAGACTTGTGTTTGGGTGGGTGCACCGCTTCAAGGCCGCATACGAAGAAATGAATGATCCACATGCAGTTCTCCAGCAATGGCTTACGAATGCTAACGTGGATCGCACCCCGAAGCTGATGCTACCGTCTGTGCTGAGGCGAGACCTTCACACGATGCACTCGACCATTTCGGTCTTCTCTTCGGGCGCTAATCGCACTCGATATCTCCGCTCGCTGCCTCGACCGTACGTTAAATTTTACTCGGAGCTAGCGAAGCGCAAGTGCCAGTCGTGTAACCAGTTCCCGGCACGTCCTGCTGTCTGTTTGCTATGTGGAATGCTACTCTGCGCCGCCAATACGTGTCCATCGATCCACTCGGACAAAGGCGGATATCCTGATGAAGCCAATCCAGGTGCGTGTACCGTTCATGCCAAGAAGTGTGGGCGAGGCAGCGGCATGTTCTTGTTGGTGCTCGAAGGTGCAGTGCTGCTTGTGTACTGGAAGCTGGCCGCGTATGTGGGGAGTCTCTATGTGGACGAGTATGGAGAGGAGTTCGGCGAACGCAACCGCGAGCTGAGCAAGGGCCGTCCACTTTACCTTAATGAGGAGAGACGTGAACGGCTACTGCGTCTGTGGCTACGTCACGAGATCCCCAATGAGGTCGTCAAGATCCAGAACAGCTCCGAGCGTGTCATCCGGAACAGCCACTACTAACCCCGCGATATGTAAAAGCAAAGAGAATTTCTACGCCCTACCGCTGGCGGTGTGAATAGCGAGCTCGGCCACTGTGTAGACACTGGTCGAAGACAATAAACGATAAACAATAAACGAGGCAATTGAACTTTGAAGTCTGAAGCACGTTGCATCCGGCGATTGTCACCACATGGTCCTGTCTACGGTTGTCAATGACACTGTACACGTGTTTATTGTGATTGGCCAAATATGCTGTTTGAACTTCAACCATTTGCACTTTCTGTGCTATCCGTGTTTTGATTGGTGAAAAGCTCCTGATTCGTACTTAGTGAAACGTCGGGTGGAGAGCGATGGATCGTGAGCTCCCCCACTCTCCGTTCAGACTCGAGGCTCGCAGCAAGGTCATCGTCAGTATGTTCGCTCGCACGCCCGTCAAGACCGTGGCCGCCGTCGCGCAGGCCACGCGCAGCATGTCTGCGTCCGCCAAGGTGTGGATCAACAAGGACACCAAGGTCATCTGCCAAGGCTTCACCGGCAAGCAGGTACCGTGACGCTAAAAGATCCTGTCGGACAAGTCATTATTTTGACACGTCTTTTTCGGTGGTTCCTCCAATTGCAGGGTACATTCCACTCGCAACAGGCTATTGAGTACGGCACCAACATGGTGGGCGGTGTGACCCCCAAGAAGGGTGGCTCCACGCACCTGGGTCTTCCCGTGTTCAACACTGTGGCTGAGGCCAAGAAGGAGACTGGTGCTGACGCTTCCGTCATCTATGTGCCGCCTCCGTTCTGTGCGGCTTCTATCATTGAGGCCATCGAGGCTAAGATTCCTCTCGTTGTGGCTATTACGGAGGGCATTCCGCAGCAGGACATGGTCAAGGTCAAGTGGCACTTGCGCAACCAGAGCACCACACGCCTTATTGGCCCCAACTGCCCCGGTATCATCAAGCCTGGCGAGTGCAAGATGGGCATTATGCCTGGATACATTCACCAGAAGGGTAAGATCGGCATTGTGTCGCGCTCCGGTACCCTGACGTACGAGGCTGTGGCTCAGACTACGGCTCTGGGCCTTGGTCAGTCCACCGTTATTGGTATTGGCGGTGACCCGTTCAACGGCACAAACTTCATTGACTGCCTGGAGCGCTTCACCAACGACCCGGAAACTGAAGGTATCATTATGGTGGGCGAGATCGGCGGATCTGCCGAGGAGGAGGCTGCAGAGTGGCTCATGGCCCACGGAGACCCCAACAAGCCCGTGGTGAGCTTCATTGCCGGCACGACGGCTCCTCCTGGACGTCGTATGGGCCACGCTGGCGCTATTGTGTCAGGCGGCAAGGGTACGGCTGCTGGTAAGTTCGCTGCGCTTGAGGCTGCTGGCGTTGCGGTGACGCGATCGCCTGCTCGTCTTGGCGTGACGCTGTACGAGGAGATGCAGAAGCGCGCTTAAATTGCCTGTGCGATAACGGAAGTAGACAGCGACGCACTGCAGCGACACAAAGAGGAGCAAGCGACGCATCCAGCCACTTGGTAGCTGGAAGAGATAGAACTATCCGTTTGCTGTTGCGTTGGCTGCGAAGCACCCGCTCCTACTTCGAATTAGTCACGTTAACTACAATCAAGAGCATGAAAAAAAACTCAACGATCAGCAGCATCGGATACTTTGTTCATAATGGCAGTAGCAGTTCGTCACAGCTGGACGTCTTGATACATCCATTTGTCGTTCTGGAGCTGCTGCGCTTTGCCCCGTAGCCCCGTGAGCGTCTCCTCCAGCAATACTGTCGTCAACAGTGACAACACACGTCAGCTACGATTCGTACCGTATTTGATGACGAGCGCAGGCTTACCCTTATTCAGACCCTGGATCGCTTCCTCTTTGTCCTTTCGCTTTTTCTCAATCAGCAGCAAGTCCTGCGAGACTAGCAAGGCACCGATATCAGAGCGCAATGGTTGACGTGCTCGATGATGACCTCACGTACTACTGGTGCTGCTTACTGGAAGCGACGCGCTAGACGCAGTCGCCGCACTCCATCGAGAATTCATCGACAGCTTTTTTCTGCTTTGTGTTTCTAACACTATTTTATGGACATCTCAATTTTTTCAACCGGATAAAGCTCACAGCCATTTATCCGGATTTGATAAGACGATGAGCAACTCCGTCGATGCTCTTCAGGAGCTCACGCCAGCAGACGTCACCACCGCTGATGCGCTCACTCTCGGCGACACGGAGTTTCCCCCGCCCCCACCTCGAACCAGTGTTACAACTGGCGCAAAGCGCAAGCGCGTAGTATTGTCCATTCATGACAAGCAGCAAGTTCTGCAGCGTCTCGAGAGCGGTGAGCAGCCAATTGCTATCGCGCGCGCCTTTGACATCAGTCGCCAGCAAGTATCAGACATCAAGAAGAACAAGGATCGGATTGTGGCCTTTTGCATCGACGCCAAGCACATGTCAACACTCAAGCGCAAGACACTCAAGGCCACGTCCGAGTACCATCCAGGAGTGGAGCAGGAACTTTATCGATGGCTCATCCGGCAGCGGAAACTGGGGCGCGTTGTCTCTGCAGAGTCTTTGGTCACTAAAACAACGGATCTCTTCATGCAGTACTCACCGGACGACTCTCACATTTCGCTCAAAGCCACTACGAATTGGCTCAGACACTTTAAGAAAGCGCACGGTATTAAAGCCTTGACGGAGGAAGAGTTGCAGCAGCTACCAGAGCAATTTGTGCCAGCTATGGACATGAATCGACCCGGAGATGTGGTCGCAGCATATTCCCAAGCGGAAGCCACTATCTCGACGAGCTCTGGAGGCTTGGGGACACTACCCGGACATTACTTCGCCTCGATCACTGCAGACCATAATACAACGATGAGTCACCAGGGTAACGTGCTTTCCACGATGACCTCGTCTGTGTCAGTATCGCCTACGCCAACGACTACAGTTGCCTTGGTACAGCTACCTACTTCGATGGATGTGAACGCGTACATGCACGCCATGAGCGCTAATGGAAATGACCAGGCTGCGAGTACCCCTGCCACCTCGCTGCAAGCTACCGTAAACACGGTGCAACAACTGAGTGCCCAACTTGCGAGTTTTGAGCGCGACATGGCGATCAAGCTGGACTATTTAGATGAACGGGTAGCCAAATTGTGCTATCTGGTGCTCCCTACACGACTGGGTTAACGCGATGTTTGGAGAAATCGATGCAAATAATACGTTACGTGTTGTTTACCTCGCCTACAAGAAGAGATCCCTACTGAACTTTGGCTGGGTCGTTGAGAGACTTGGCCATCGCTCTCTTCTGTGCCATTTGCTGCTCCTTGATCGAAAGCGATGGCGATGCTTCGTTTCCATAACTCCGGTTGTTGTTGCTGCTGCTTTTTGAGGATGCGACAGTAGATCGGGTCTGAGGCATGAAGCCTAACTCGTCCATCGGAAGGCCATACTCGCTCATCTTGAGCTGCATGGCGGTGGCAAGTTCTTGCTGTAGCTTGGCGACTTGAGCCATCTCGGCTTCCAGTTCACGGAGATCTTCAGCTTTGTTAGCCATGATATCTTCCAGTCTGCCTTTGACGCGATCGACGATAGCTGGATCAAGTTTGGCATGGAGGAGAACCTCGTTGAGCTCGGCATCTTTCTGCTCAAGTTGTAGTGTCAGCGCGCCCATCTTTTTCTCAAGCAGCAAGTTCTTCAGACCAGCTTTCTGCTGTACATCGTAGATGCTGCTGTGGAACTGAGTCGTGAGCTGCTCCAGCTCTCGTGATACTTGTGCTGCACGTTGCTGTAGCACTTCAAACTCCCACGAGAGCGTGGCGTATTCCTGCTCTAGCACCAACAATTGCGCCTTGGCCGTACGCAGCTCCACCTTCTCTTCCTGATACACGCAGATATTTTTTCGAAGCTTCTCCACGTCCAACAGAGCTCGCTTCAATGGCTCCGACATGCGTTTGTTCTCCTGAGAGATCTCAAACATGAGCTTTTCGTCTTGAGCTTCTTTCTTCTTCATCTCACTCACTTCTTCTTTGAGTGATTTTATCAAGTCGAGGTTGTTATGCGTGATATCGTTGTAGTAGTTCTTGATCTCTCCGAAAGCTTTCTCGTGCGCTGTCATGAGCTGTGCGATGTGTAGATTCTTGCGCTCTTCAATTCTCTGTGTGTCTTGTTTACGACGAACTTCCAGGTCGTCGCGGAAAGCTTTGCGTTTGCGCTCATACTTCTGCTGAAGCTCCTTAGCATGCCGTTCGAACTCTTGACGCAGAACTGTGATACGACGATCTTGCTCTTGTTTTATTGACTTGAGGTAGTCCTGATGCGACAGCTCGATCTCTTTCAAGTCGAATTTCAGCCGCCGCTTATCCGTCTTGAGCTCGCGTTCGTTACCGCGATAGTCATCTTGCGATATCTTCAAAGACTGCTCCATTTCTACAGTAGAGCCATTAGATAGACAAAAGCTTTGATTTCGATAACAATACTCACCCTTTTTGAGCTTGGTGATGTCATTCTGATGCTCGTATAGTAAATGCTTCACCCGCTGCTTGTAGACCTATCACAGCCAAGCAATAATAAGCAAAGCAGTTTTGACCACTCGATCGATTTAATAGTAGCGCACCTTGATCTCGACCTGATGCTTCTCCTCTAGATCTTGTCTCTCTCGCTCTTTATTACGCAGTTCAGCTTTCCTATCCTCAAAGTTTTTCTTCTCCACGATCCAAAAGTAGTTGATCTTCTCTCTCTGCTGCTGGAACTCATTGAACGACTGCTCCTCCTTTCGTGTGAGCTCCAGCAGAGCCTTCGCCTGCTTCACCAGCTCCAATCGCTCCGCCTCGTTCTCCCGTTCCACGTCATTTACTTCAGCTGCTCCTTTCTTGCTGGCACCTCCACCTTTCCCTTTCTTTTTTTCCTTCTTGCCTTTGCCCTTCTTCGGCCCCATACTACCTTGCTATCGGTCACTCGACTGTCAAGGCTTTTCGTAAAAAATGCGATCCTTCTTTTTACGCTCTGAGGTAAATATGCAAAGTGGACGTTTATTTCGGGCAGGTGGACGTCAGAGGACATAACTTCAACAAGGTAATTGACTCATTCCCCTCGAGTCTTCGTAGCTACGACGAAGAAGCGCTTAAAATTAAAGACAACGCGTCCATCGCTTTGCTTCGGATACGTCGCAGCGATCAGCTCGCGGTACCTGTGCTCGAACTCCGAGGCTGCAGTGGACGGATCACCCAGCGCCTCCATGAAGGGACGAAGCCCAGTAGAGCCCACGAAATCGGCGACTGGGTTGTCTCCCTCTAGCACTTGTGCATACACCGTCGCCCACATGTCCAGCTCTACGTCCTTGTCGACGCTCTTAAACAGCTCGTAGTAGAAGCCTGGATCACGTTCACATGTGACCCAACGCACATCAGCAACACTGTCCCAATGCCCCACTTGCTTCGCTGCTGCAGCGATCAGCTGGTGACTCGGTTGTAGACGTGTATCTGGGATCTGGAAAGCCAGAGTTCCTCTAGGCTTCAGGAGCGAAAGCAACCGAGGTAGGAGCTGTTTGTGGCGCTCCGAGCTCACCCAGTGGAGTGCAGCGTTGGAGAAAATGAGATCCACAAGCTTGTCAGGCTGGAAGCTTTCGAAGTCAGCCTCCACGTACGTGCACTGCTCGCTCTTCACACTGTCATTGGCTCTGTGCTCCTGCTGCGCACGCTCCAACATGGAAGCTGACGAGTCCACGAATGTTACGTGTGCCTTTGGCCACCGTTTACTGCAACCCACAGCATTTCGTCAATACTACAAAAAGAACAAGGCCAAAGTTCCTTGATGAGAGCACTTACAAGAAGGTAGGGGCCATATTCCCCGTGCCAGCACCCAGATCTATGATATTGACAACGTCATCGTCTTTCGAACTGGCTGATGGCAGCTCGGGGACGCGCTCCAGCAGTTCAAGCGCGGGGCGTAGTCGGACTCGCTCAAACCTTAGATACTTCAGTGGTTGCCACGTTTGAGCCGCACGCGCCATCGTCGCAGACAAAAAGAGTTTCGTCGACCTGGTCGGTCTCTTGGACGTGTGGGAATGATGTGTGCACCTCAAAGGAAAATGATCATCCACACAAAAATAAGAGAGTACGAACTTCGTACTCTCTTCAATACGAAGCAAGGTACTTCGCTGCGATGGTTCCATTACTTTTCTTTAAAGACGCGCTCTGCTTCAGTAAATACACAATTTCTACCAGCTTACTCGATCGTAAAACCGGTTACTTCCATTTGGATCACGAGGGATAACGCGATTCGCAAGTCCTTTATCGTGTCATACCGGGGCAAGTCGATGCTGCAATTAATACAAACACACATCAGTCAGCCGTACGAGTAACTAATAGAGATTGACACGAGGCTGACGTACCGATTGAAGCACGTGTGCGCTCGCGGATACAGACACTCGTCGGCACTGACGCACTGGATCGCGAACGGACAGATGCGTCCGTCATTCATAGTCAGCGCCTTGAAGCCTTGCACTGGCACGCGAGCCGAGCCAGTCGTGAACTGCAGCAAACGCGCCTTCTGCTCGTTCGAGAATTCACGTACGATATTCCAGAACCAGGCGATCGCTCGCTCGTCTCGCTCCCCCACATAAATAGTGTGAGTCTTCCAGTCCATCACGTCGATGTCGGGGATTCCACAAATCAAAAGTTCCAGCTCCTGATGGTCAAAGACCGAGATCAGCTCCTTGGGAATAATCGAGAATAGACCTTGCATCAGCGACCCAAGCTGCTGCGAGATGCTGGTTGCCACGATCCACTTAAAGCGCAGGGTAATATACTCCATCTTGTTGTCATCTGTGACGGGGATATTCGAGCCGTTTGGTACCAAGTCCACCACCTTCGATTTGTCCGACATTTGGTCAACATTCACCCTACATAACAACAAAACACACTGAGTATTGCACAAAATTAAACAAGAGATGAAATCGACGTACGTGAAGTCCAGAGCCAACGATTCGACGCCAGTGTTGTCTCTCAGCCACTTCAAGTTCTTGTACAAGTCGTCGTCCACGAATTCGAGGTCCGAAAACGTGATAGGAATCCCGAGAATATGTTTACACACTGGCAGCGCTAAGTGTGCGTCGATGAGAATACCTTCGAACAGAGCTCTTCCGATAAATCGACCGATCGCTTGGTAGTACTATGATAAAAAAGTAAGCAACACACCATCTACAAGAAAGACTTGCACAAGCGAGCAGCTTACCATCAGGTGGTCGACACTGGCTTCAGCAGATGCAGGGTTGATCATGAGGCCATCTCCGTTTCCGCATCTGTAGAACAGGCCAGTCGAGTCGTCGAAAACCTCCTTCGTCATCAGTGTAAACCACTCGCGTACAAGTCCACCAGCGTCCACACCTGGTTCGTTCGCGAACTTGATTCGCAGCGATTGATGAAGCTGATCTGGTGTCGCCCAAAGCAGCTGCTCGCACGAGTTGTGGAGCAGATTGTCCCGTTCAATTTCCAGCAGTAAGTGTCCGTATTCCCAGGGAACTTCCATCGCTGCTGTATGCTGGACAAACCACGCGTGTTTCTGCTGAAAAGGCAGCGATCCGACCTGTTGTAGTTCATCCTGGGAGATCTCCGAGCTGTCCGAGCCGCGCGTCGCCAGTGCTCCATCTGCTGTCTCAAGAGACAGTCTTCCCGTCGGGTTCTTGGGCGACACGACAATTTTAGACACGATTCCGACCGAGTTGACGCTCCCGTTCGAGATAATTGAGTCACGTAAGGACGTAGACGACTGGCTGCGTAGATTGTCGAGGTTGCGCAGACTTTTGAGCGCCTTGCGGTCCATATAGTGCTTCTTCCTGACCCAGATCAACTCTCCGTCGTCGTTGCGTTGACGAGACCATTCGTGTCGACGCCGTGCTGATTGTTGTCGTAGATTGAGCACACTGAGCTTCCGTTTGAAGAATTCCCTGTTAATTTTGGCCGTTGATGTGGACCTGATGGGCCGCGACGGGGTCGCTCTGTTGACTGCGCTGCGAGTGAGCGGGTTCTCCTTCTCCTCCATGTACAGAACGTACTTGGTACTGGACGAGGACGAGGACGGCGCGTTGCTATGCTCGCTGGCGGACTCGTCGACTGCTCTGGTTGTCTTCTCAATCAGCTTGAAGGAGCGGTCTGTACCACAGAGCATGCAGGTGTTGTGCGCGTCGTAGCTCTTGAAGGAGCAGACTTCGCACTCCCACAGATTGTTCATGTCTTGGTCGCTAGCGATCACGTCCTGTCGTAGCATAGTCTCGGGTAGTGCCTGTTGACGGAGGAAGTTGGCCTCCATCTTATGTTTAAAGAAAATGTTGTAGATAAGGCATGTGAGCATCATCGCGCCTATCACGAAGTAAAACATGAAGTTGTAGCTGTCCGAGGACTCTGCCAGGCGTCGGCTTTCATGCCCGACGAGTCGCTGCGCTTCGCTTCCTGTAATGCTCAGCAGCACTATTGTTGTCCTGGCCCCTGTATTAAACGTTACAGGGCCATCTCTCCGCCAGAACGCGCGCATACTTGGTCCTGAGCGGGGGAATCGAGGCTGTCGACTCACCACACTACGCCAAACACGCGACACGAACTCTGGACTGGTATTTCACGCGGAAGGCGACGGCGATTGCGGACACTGGGCCTGGTCGAGTCTTTCCCGTCACTGGAGCCGGTTTCCGACCTGCGCAATGGTCTCTTGTGCCGTAATGTTGCTCGAAGAGAAAAGTTGCGTGAACTCGGGCGTTGGTAATTTTTTAAATTTGACGAAAGATGGTGATATGAAAAGCTCGATTACTAACACATTATGGCGTTCCCTTGCACAGTACACCAACTTTCATCAGTTTTAGCCGTTACGTACCAACATTGCTCGGCGAATCATGAACCGGAGACCGGCGACGAGCTTCTCGCTGGGCGCGCTGGCCACGTCGGCAGCTCAAGTGCTGGCGCCCAACAGCTTGCAGTTCAATGAGCACGAGTTTCAACGGTAAATGTTGGTGTCCAGGTTATGAAGGGGGCTGCGAAACGAGGCTGATGCTGGACTCTCTACGTTGGTAGATCGCCCAAGGAGGCACAGGACGTAGCACGAGAAGCAGGAAAGCTAGTGAAGCCAGGTATTGATACGTCTCAGCTGCTGTGGAACAACGACCGCTAGTGGATTTTTAACTGATAGTAGCAAATGCAGGCGACTTAATCTTTATCACTACAAGCGGACTGGTTTACTCGGTGGGGAGATATTTAACCGAGAATGCCTACGATCATGTGGTGAGCTAAAAACGATGTTGATTTTGTTGGACAGCGATTTTTAATGCGTGAGGTGGGCGCTGTACATGTATAACAGGTGATTGTGCTGGATGAAAACACCGTGCTTCACGTGGGGATGCCATCTGTCAAGTTGATGCCGTTGGAGCGGCTGCTTTTACCTCAACGGCAGCCTGTGGTAATGCGCTTGAAAAAACAAAATTGTTTTATCTTCCCGTTTTCACCTACTGATGTATTTGTGACAGGTGCTGCGCGTCCCAATGTCGGAGTCGGAGCTGCAACTATTTCTTCGCAGCGCACGGCAGTTGATCGGATGCAACTATGATGTCGCGAGGTGAGTGCGGAAAGTCGAGCTTGGGCAACTCTATTAGTATCAACTTACTAACTCGAGTTTGATAATTGAGGGCGTACCAATTAATGTTGCGATTGGCTTTAAAGCGTGTGACCCGGTCTACACCGCTACCACGACTGCCCCTTGACGTCAAAAGCAACGCTTGGATCTGCAGCGATTCGATCATGTACGTATCAGTTACTGCAGCAAAATAAATCTTCTTTGCTGAATGAGTATGATATTTACTCGAAATGAATAGTGTGTTGCTAGCAGGCTGCTGCAAAGGATTCCGAGAGGCTTTGACCAAGGCGAGGCGGGAGACGGACCTAGGTGTGTGTTTGCTTTAAATACCGCCATTATTGGTTTTCTCATTCCTTGCTCCTGCATTTTGTAGACATCTTCACGATGGGCAGTGCGTCCATGACTGACTTCGAACGGATTCGGCGCATCGAGCCGGGCATTATTTCGCGTGTACCGTTGCCTGTTGTCAATTACACCCTCGCACCACATAAGCGCTCGTGGCGTGCATACGTTCCAGAGGTGGTGCAATTCGCACAAAGCGTCCAGGCCGGGACGTTGAAGTGGCCTCTGTTTGCGCCCGAGATATTCCCAAAGGTGCACGAGTTCGCTGCCAGTACCCCCCCGACGTCGTGGTCCATAAAGCGCAAGATCCAAGTACTGGGTTATGTGATGTTGTTCCTCCTAATGCTCCGACGTGGCCTAACTGTAAAGCGGGTGTTGCTGCGAGCTGTTGAAGTGCTTATGCTGCGGTATGTTGCGCAGCATGTTATGCTGCACCTACAGTCGTCCCCCGCTTTCGGCGCCGCAAGACTTTAGATCCCCTGTATTTGGACACAATAGATTGAGTGTTCACCCATTTTTGTCGAAAGTACACCTAGAATAATGGGCTCAGTCATTTCAACAAACGGACTATGGCTGCGGAGGCAGAAGCAGCGCAGGCTGCAGGTGCAATCCCCTCGGGTGGGTTGTGTCTGCTGGTGATCGACCAGCAGGTTGATTTTCATCCGGGTGGCTCACTCGCGATACCCACAGCCAATGAAGATGCGGCGCGTATCGCCGAATTTATTCACCGACACACGAGCAAGCTCCAGCAGCTCGTGCTGACTCTGGATTCGCACCAGCGCTACCATATTGCGCATGGGATCTTCTGGGAGAATGCAGAGGGCAAGTCGCCTGATCCATTTACGCTCATCACGGCTAAGGATGTCGCTGCCGATGTGTGGAGGCCGCGCGATCCAAGCTTGAAGCAGTACGTGTTGGCCTACACGACAGCGCTTGAGGCTAGCGGGAAGTTCACACTGTGCATCTGGCCCGAGCATTGCCTCATCGGATCACCTGGGCATAACATTGTACCGAATGTGCTTGCGGCGGCGATGGAATGGACCAAGACGTCACTCAAGCCAGTGCAGTACGTTATGAAGGGCAGCAACTCGTTCACGGAGCACTACTCGGCGCTCAAGGCCGAGTTCGAGCTGCCTTACGATCCCACGACAAGGTACAGTGTCCTCAAAATCTTTACAAAAAGAATTATGCGGATTGTTCGGAGCTTACATGTTGCTGTGGCTGCGTATACCGGTACTGTTGTTTTGCCTCTGTAGTTTGAATCAGACGCTGGTAGACAGTCTCAAGCTTGCCGACAAGGTGGTTGTCTGTGGCGAAGCCATCTCGCACTGTGTGAACTACACGGTGCGAGATTTGGTGGATGCGTGGCCCACGGAGCGGCTTCACGACTTGGTGATCCTGACTGACTGTGCGTCCCCCGTCCCGGGCTTTGAAGAGGCTGGCGAGGTACAGTACCATTAGCACTGTACCATTAGCGCCTTATTCTTGCGGCTATGTTGTCTCCGGCGCTGACTTACTGTACCATTAGCGCCTTATTCTTGCGGCTTTGTTGTCTCCGGCGCTGACTTCGACCATTGTTTATTTCCTCTGCGATGCAGGAGTTTCTGCGTGATATGGCTGCCAAGGGACTCACACTTACAATGTCGGACCAGTTCACCGCATAGATTCCGAGTTGCGGCTCAAGGGAAGTGAATTGGCCTGAACGCGTTGCGGCAGATCCTTGTGTCCTTCATTTCAATTTTTAGCAAGTGTACAGAGAAATCCTAACGTCAATGTTATCTGATATCGCTTGTCAAACTTAAATTTGCTTATCACGTCCGTTTCAGTCGGCATACGTGGCACAGGATCCCATCCTACACCTTTCAAACACGTTCGAAAAGAGCACATAAGCGCGCTTATACAGCTTCAACGACTGTTATTCTTACCACACCTTAGCATCAGGCTTCGGCTGTCACCCGAACGACGCATCCCATTAACTATATTTACTACTCCCACGATCATTGAAACGTACGAGACCAACACTGGAGTTTTGTGCCATTTGGCGTCCCATTGGCATGAAAGTGTATTTTGGTCAAAAAGGGCATCATCCTTCAGGGTACTTACTTTGACGCGGAGACAAAACACTAGTACCCATAGAAACGAATAAATGCGTTTATAAGCGCGCTTAAAATGAAAACCCGCCTAAGCCGCTTTGATTTGGGCTAAGATTTTTTTCGCCCCCTCAGGGAGTCGGCCACAGTCGTGAAACGGAGGAAGAAGCGAAAGGATCCGAAGTGCGATCAACGAGCGGCCTCCCCCCCCTCCGCCAGTCCGACAAGACACCAAGAGACACGAATAACAGAGGGCGCGAGTCATAGCAACAGACCCGAGGCAACATGGCGCAAGATCTCCCCATTACCTTCGGGGAAGTGCTCAACGTACGTCCCCAGTGCGGAATTCTGGGTTTATCCCTCTAATTTTAGATACAACTTCAAGATAGAGAGAGAAAACATCAGGATAAACAGGTAACTAATATCTCGATGCTGTATGTGTCTGCCTGCAGCTGAGCACCCTGGGTGTGAACCTGGACTATGTCAAGTTTGGCACGACGACAATGGAGTCGGACAAGTTCGTCTGCGTGTGCGAGCAAGTGAACGGCCAGGCCAGCGTGGTAATCGTGGATATGGCAGCAGGCAACACAGTGCAGCGTCGTCCCATTAACGCCGAGGCAGCGATTATGAACCCCGTGAGCAAGGTTATCGCTCTGCGGGCAGAGAACCAGCTGCAGATCTTCAACATGGAGCTGCGAGCCAAGATGAAGAGCCATCTCATGAACGAGGCCGTGGTCTTCTGGCGCTGGATTTCCGTCAACACCATCGCTTTAGTCACTGCTTCAGCGGTGTACCATTGGAGTATCGAAGGCGACTCGCCCCCAGCCAAGATCTTTGACCGCCATGCGAACTTGGGCGCTGGCACTCAAATTATTAGCTACGAAGCCTCAGCCGACAACCAGTGGATGTTGCTGGTCGGTATCTCGCAGGGAGAAGGCGGCCGTATCGCTGGTAACATGCAGCTGTACTCGATGGAAAAGAAGGTGAGTCAAGTGCTGCAGGGCCACGCCGGTGCCTTCGCCCAGATGAAGCCTCCTGGAAGAACAGATGACGCGCAGGTGCTCGTGTTCGCCGGTACCAAGGGCAGTGGAGAGCCCATGCAGCTCTTTATTATGGAAGTCGGACGTGACCGTGACGCCCCCGGCGGCGTCTTCCGTCTTCCTCCAGCTGCAATCCCATTTGCTGCCGATGCTCAGGCGGATTTCCCTGTGTCGATGCTGGTGAGTCCGAGCGACGACGTCGTGTACATGATCACAAAGATGGGATACCTCTTCCTGTTCGACGCACACACGGGCAAGCCTGTGTACCGTGCTCGTGTCTCTCAGGACACGACGTTCGTCACGTGTCTAGAGTCCAAATCCAAGGGCATGCTGGGTATTACGCGTCGTGGCCAGCTTCTGCATTTTGCAATCAACAAGACCAAGCTGGTGCCGTACGTGGTGAACACGCTGCGTGACTCGCAGCTGGCTCTGGCTTTGGCTACGCGTCTGGATTTACCAGGAGCTGAAGAACTGTATTTCACGGAGTTCAACCGTCTCGTTGGTGTCAACGACATTCAAGGAGCTGCTCGTCTGGCTGCTGCTTCTCCTCAGGGCGCTCTGCGTACGCCTCAGACGATCCAGAGGTTCCAGAACATGCCTGCGCAGCCTGGTCAGCCCCAGCCTATCCTGCAGTACTTCAGTGTTTTGCTCGAGAAGGGTACACTGAACAGGATGGAGTCAATTGAGTTGGCTCGTCCTGTACTGATGCAGGGTCGTGGCCAGCTGCTCCAAAAGTGGCTGTCAGAGGACAAACTCGAGTGTTCTGAGGAACTAGGAGACCTGGTGGCCCAGTCGGACACTACAATGGCTCTCTCGGTGTATCTGCGTGCTGAAGTCCCGGAGAAAGTAATTAACTGCTTCGTGCAACGCGGCGAGTTCGACAAGATTGTGGCGTACGCTGTCCAGACCAACTACCGCTGCGACTACACGTTCATGCTCCAGAACCTGGTGCGTGCTAACCCTCAGGGTGCTCTGGACTTTGCTCAGAAGCTGGCAGTCGCCGAGAACGGTCCTTTGGTGGACGTCAACGCCGTTGTCGACATCTTCATGCAGGTGAACCGCATCCAGGAGACCACTGCTTTCCTGTTGGAAGCTCTGAAGAACAACCGACCGGAGGAGGGATACTTGCAGACGCGTCTACTGGAGATTAACCTGCTCGGAGGCTCGCCCCAGGTGGCTGACGCTATTTTGTCCAACAACATGTTCACGCACTACGACAGACCGCGCATTGCTGCTCTTTGCGAGAAGGCTGGCTTGTTCCAACGTGCTCTGGAGCACTACACGGAGCTGGCGGACTTGAAGCGCGTGATTGTGAACACCCAGGCGATCAACCACGAGTTCATCGTGACGTTCTTTGGCACCCTGACCAGCGAGGTGTCGATGGAGCTGATCAACGCTCTGATGGCTCACAACATGCGTCAGAACCTGCAGATTGTGGTGCAGGTTGCTACCAAATACGCGGAGCAGCTGGGTGGCAAGGAACTGGTCGAGGTGTTCGAGAAGTTCAAGTCGTTCGACGGCCTGTACTTCTTCCTGGGCTCTATCGTGAATTTCTCGCAGGACCCGGACCTTCACTTCAAGTATATTGAGGCTGCCACGAAGATGGGACAGTTCAAGGAAGTGGAGCGTGTTTGCCGTGACTCTTCTGTGTACGACCCTGTGAAGGTGAAGGAGTTCCTGAAGGAGTCGAAGCTGCAAGACCCGCGTCCGCTTATCCACGTGTGTGATCGCTACGATTTCGTGGAGGAATTGACGCAGTATTTGTATTCGAACAACCTGATGAAGTACATCGACGTGTATGTGACCAAGGTGAGCCCTCAGAAGGCCCCCATTGTCATCGGTAAGCTACTGGACCTGGACTGCAACGAGGACTACATCAAGAACCTGCTGAACCAGGTTGCGCAGTGCTCCGTGGACGACCTGTGCGAGCAGGTTGAGAAGCGCAACCGTCTGCGTCTTCTGCAGCCGTGGCTCGAGACCCGTGTGGCTCAGGGCAACACGGAGACGGCCACGCACAATGCTATCGGTAAGATCTACATCACGCTGAACAAGGACCCGCAGCAGTTCCTGATCAACAACCAGTTCTACGACTCGGAGGTTGTGGGCAAGTTCTGCGAGAAACTGGACCCGGCGCTCGCGTACCTAGCTTACCGTCGTGCGGGAGGCGCATGCGATGACGACCTTATTCGTGTGACCACGGAGAACGGTTTGTTCAAGGATCTGGCTCGCTACTTGGTAGAGCGTCAGGACTTGGATCTGTGGGGTAAAGTGCTGGTGAAGCAGGAGGAAGGCGAGACGGAGTCTCCTAGTCGTCGTGCTCTGATTGACCAGGTTGTGCAGACTGCTCTTCCTGAGACGACGAACCCGGACGAAGTGTCGACCACTGTGCGTGCGTTCATGAACGCCGAGCTGCCGAACGAGCTCATTGAGCTGCTGGAACGCATCGTACTGCAAGGCACGGATTTCTCGACCAACAAGAACCTGCAGAACTTGTTGATTCTGACGGCTATAAAGGCTGGCAAGGAGAAGGTTATGGACTACGTGAACCGTCTGGACAACTTCGATGGCCCGGAGATCGCTCGCATTGCCGTGGGCGAGCAGTACCAGCTGTACGAGGAAGGTTTTGTCATCTACAAGAAGACGAACCACAACGTGGAAGCTATTGGCGTGCTGCTGGACTACATCAAGGATAACGAGCGTGCCTACGAGTTTGCTGACCGCTGCAACGAGCCTGAAGTGTGGTCTCGTCTCGCTAAGGCTCAGTTGGATCAGGGCAAGGTGCACGACTCGTTGTCGGCATTTATCAAGGCCAACGACGCCAGCTCGTACGTGGATGTCATTGCTGCGGCTGAGCGTATCGACAACTACAACGAGCTGATCCCGTACCTGAAGATGGCGCGCAACACCGTGAAGGAGCAGTACCTTGACACGTCGTTGATTTACGCGTACGCTAAGACGGAGAAGTACGGCGACCTTGAGGAGTTCATCTCTTCCCCCAACGTGGCGCAGATCCAGAACATTGGTGAGCGATGTTACGATGAAGGCATGTACAACGCGGCCAAGCTGTTGTTTCAGAATATTAACAACAACGCCAAGCTCGCTATTTGTTACGTGCGTCTGGGCAAGTTCCGTGAGGCTGTGGATGCTGCCACGAAGGCCAACTCTGTGGGCACGTGGAAGGAAGTCAACTACGCCTGTGTGGACGTGAACGAGTTCCGTCTTGCTGGCTTGTGTGGTCTGCACATTATCGTGCACCCGGACCACTTGGAGGAGCTGATCTTGCACTACGAGAAGCGCGGCCACTCGACTGAACTGCTTAAGTTGATGGAGCAGGGCCTTGGTCTTGAGGGCGCACACGCTGGCATCTTCACGGAGCTGGCTATCCTGTACTCCAAGTATTTGCCGTCCAAGCTGATGGAGCACATCAAAATCTTCCACTCGCGTATGAACGTGTCGAAGATCTTGCGTGCCTGTGAGAAGGGTCTGCACTGGGATCACGCCGTGTACCTGTACAAGGAAGACGGCCAGTTCGACAACGCTGTGCGAACGATGGTGGACCACCCGGTGGCGTTCTCGCACGATCTGTTCCTGGACTGCATCCAAAAGGTCCGTAACCAGGAGATCCACTACAAGGCGATCAACTTTTACTTGGAGCAGCACCCGCTTGAACTCGTGCGTCTTCTGCAAGTGCTGACTCCCAACTTGGACCACGCACGTGTTGTCCACCAGCTGCGTAAGTCGAAGAACTTGCCGCTTGTCGCTGAGTACCTGAAGGACGTGCAGAAGGAGAATCTGTCAGCTGTGAATGAGGCTCTGAACGAGATTCTGGTAGACGACGAGGACTACCAGGCACTGCGTGACTCTGTGGACGCGTACGAGAACTTCGACCAGATCTCGTTGGCTCAGAAGTTGGAGAAGCACGAGCTGCTGGAATTCCGTCGTATTGCTGCCTACTTGTACCGTAAGAACAAGCGTTACCCGCAGTCTGTGAAGCTCTCGAAGGCCGACAAGATGTACAAGGACTGTATCGACTGTGCCAGCGACTCGGACGACCCGGAACTGGCCGAAGATATCTTGCGATTCTTCGTGTCTGTGCACGACAAGGAGTGCTTCTGTGCTACATTGTTCACGTGCTACAAGCTGATTAAGCCGGATGTTGCGTTGGAGCTTGCTTGGCGTCATGGCTACGTTGACTTCGTCATGCCCTACATGATCCAGTTCGTTAAGAACATTGATGACAAGGTGAAGGTGTTGGACGAGCGTACGCAGACGCAACAGGAGACCGAGACGGACGCGCAAACGCTTGACCCGGCGTACGGTATGGGCGGCATGCAGCCGATGCTCGCCATCGCCCCCACGGCCTACAATGACCCGTCGGCACAGTACGGCATGGGCATGGCTCCCGGTATGAACATGGGCATGGGAATGCAGCCGAACATGGCGATGGGAGGTATGCAGCAGAACCCGTACGCTAGCAGCCAGAGCAGCATGGGCAGCAACCCGTACGGCAACAGTGGTTACCAGTATTAAGTGACTGTCAAAGAAGAAGAAGACAGGGATCAAGAGGAAGAAGAGAGCTGTTCTTAGTTTGCATACGTGACCTCGAGCGCGTCTAGAAACTGGTTGGTTAAGATTGATTGTCGCGTGCTTCAGGCTAAGACACTAGATATGTTTCCATTTTCGTTCTCTTCTTCTCTTTTTCATTTGATTGGCTATTACGTCATTTGATTAGCTGACGACCGCACGTTCTTGAAAGGTCATATTTTCAGATTTGAAAGGTCATGTTTCAGATACATGTATCCTCGGAAGATACGCCATCGAGCATTATCCAGCCATGTTGCGCTCCAGGTCTGCATCTATGAGCAAAAGCAGTGATGTCGACGATTTTGAAGACGCGCCAGTGGAGATCCTACCTCAAGAGATTCGTCTCGCCGAAGACGCAGGTACATGTAATAACTTATCTAATCTTAAATTGACTGCACCCAAATGCTAATTAATCATTTTAAAAGATGATACGCTGCCAAATACGTTGGTGATCACCGTGTTGCAAGCTCGTCACCTGCAGCCTTCTGCATTTCGAGACACTCTCAGCTGCTACGTCAAGTTGTCTTCGCTGGGTGTCGAGTACAAGACCAGCGTCATGACCAAGACTCGAGAACCTCGATGGCACGAAGTCTTCGCTTTCCGAGCTGTGGACTGGACCACAGGTGTTACGGTGTCTGTACGCGACCGACTGCCAATTAATATGCACTTTATCGGTCAGGTCGTGATCTCCTCGGCCGAGATCGCTAGTCTGCCGGGGATGACAACGCAGCGCTGGTTCCAGTTACGAGACAAGGGCGTTGCGGGGCAATTGACGGGGGCAGAACTGGAACTTAAGGTGGCGTTGGTGTACACGAAAGCTAACGACCAAGAGCTGTTCCAAGCAGGGTCAGCTGCTGCGGAGTTGGAGCATGGGGCGGTGGACGCGGGACTTGCGGATCTGCTTGTAGGACAGGAGGACGAGACGGAAGAAGAAGCTGATGCTCGGACGAGGGCTCTTGTGCGACGAGAAGAGCAGGAGCGAGAGGCTGCAGCTGTCATTGCGTCGTTGAAACAAGGGGATTACCAAGTGCAAGTGCATGTCATCGAAGCGAGGGATCTCAAAGGAGAGAATGTAAGTTTGACGTGCTGTCTTGAGTTCTCCAACGGAACTCTTAAGCTGATTCTTTTCTTACTACTGTAGTTGAGCGGGACTTCGGATCCGTACTGCCAAGTGGACATCATGGGTGTGTCGAAGAAGACGTCAACAAAATACGACACGCTCGGCTGTGTGTTTGATGAAGTTCTGTTCTTTAATTTCACGAATATTGGTCGTCACGAGCTACGAGAAGCGTCGATTAAGGTAAATTCTGCGTCTAAGGAGCCTAAAAAGCTGCACTATATCCTAAATTATTGCTTGTTCCTTGATCAGATCTCTGTTTACGACAAGGAAAGAGTGCTCCGAGACAACTTAATTGGCATCTACCAGCTCGACTGTCTCTCTGTATACACCCAAGTACGTCAAACCTTGCTTATATTTCTACTTTTTCGATGGTGACCTGACGTAGTTGTACCTTTTATCTAGCCTCATCATGAACTGTATCGTCAATGGATCGCTGTTCATGACAATTTGAGCGCGAAAGATCGAGGAATCCAGGGATTTCTCTTGGTTAGTGTGGTGCTTCTGGGGCCTGGTGATGCACTGCGAGTACATGACCGTGAAGCCGAAGTCGAGCAGGAGCTTGCCGAGACAACCGGTGAAAAACTACCAGAAGATAGGGACCAACCGACGACGATCACTCCACTTGTTCTGGTTCCTCCTGCTATCGAGCTCAAGCTGCAGTTTCTTGTTGTAAGAGTGCTACGAGCTGAGCACCTACCTGCCATGGATACGGGAGGGCTGTTGATTGGAGCTCAGGGCATCGACGCGTTCGTAAAAGTTGTATTTGCGGCCAACGCGCCGTGTAAGACCTCGGTTGTGACCGTCAAAGGACGTGGGAACCTGGCCCCCGATTTCTACGAGGAGCTCTGGCTGCCTGTACGAATCCCTACGTTCTCAAGACACATTGGCATCTCGATATGGGATCGAGACCTCACATCTCCAAACGAACTGGTTGGAGTGGCTTCACAAGATTTCTTACAAGTTCCAGCGGAGATAATGGCGAATCTAACTAGCTTAAAATCCCCCGACAGTCCACGGAAAACAAAATTCATGTTTGGAAACAGCGACGACGAATATTTTGAAGAAGAGTTGAGTGAGACTACAACTCTTGAGAAGATGGAACTTGAGGAAGAACAGCAACGACTTCAAGCGGCTGCACCTCGTTGGTACAATCTCTATGGCCCTCCATTGCGAGGGACAAATCCAAAGCGCAAGCAGCTAGTTTCTCGGCATGCCGAGCTTGGCTCGACGTATCGTGGTCGCGTTCTATTATCCACAGTTCGCGTGGAGTCTCCTAGACCAGAAGATGGCGAGAAAATGCACACTAAACCAATGTCTGCAGAAGAGCGTGAACGGTTGGAGCGTAGCATACCCAAGACAGTCAAGTACACGCTTCGAGGAGCTTTGTACTGTGGCGTCGAGCTGCCGAGAAGCTCATCAAGTGCATTGATGGGAGGCGCTTCCCACGTTCGTGTGACGCTTTCACTAGGTCCTTACACCAACACGTTTGAAAGCCAAGAGGTTGCGAAGGACGGAACTGCCACGTTCGAGCAGTGTGCGGAGCATGGATCTGCGCTGGAATTACCGGCCGATCTGACCCAAATTCCAGACATTATCGTCACTCTAAGTCGCTCTGTGGGGGTTGCAAGTCGGAAGGAGGAGTTCGTGAGTGTAAGCTTTGCACGCATCCGCGCTGAGAAGTTATTTGCAAGTGGCTTTACAGGGAAATGTCAGTGGGTTGTTCTACGAGAAGAGATCGCTCGTCGCCAAACAAGACACGCGCTTGAGCGGACACAGAATCCAGGAGTTCTTTTGCTTCGTTTAGGCTTTGGTCGAGTGGAAATGGCTACGAAACATCCTTGGGCTACCGACGGTGACAGTACCGAGTTTTTCGCTCCGTTTCGATTCCCCCGAGTGCATCGGGAGATTTGCGTGCACATTTTCCAGGCTCGTGGGCTCGAGTCCCCGGCTCATGTGGCACGTGTGCCTAGTCCTGGAGTAATTGTTCGCTGTTGTGGCCAGCAGAAACGAACAAAAGCGTGTCAAAACACTCCAGCCCCTCTTTTCTACGAGTCTCTAGTATTCCTTGCGAGTGTTCCGGCTTCTGACGTGGTGTACACACCCGAGATCGTCGTACAAGTACAAGACACGAATGGAAATGCAGCTGGGGTTCTGGGAGAATTGCGGCTGTCTTTAGCTTCAGCTGTGCGATCTGTAGCCACCGCTGGATCGCCGAAACCGCGTTGGTATGAGCTGAAAAAGCCTCGAAGTCGATCCTCCACTTCTGTGAGTCTGTTACTGGCAGAACAAGCTGGAGGATCCGCAGGTCAACTACTGGTTGCGATCCAGTACATCGACCACACGGGGTCAGATCCGCCTGGAATTCTTCGCTCGCCAGCCGCAATCACACCGAAATTTGTGGAAGCGAACCTGGATATTGTTGCGCTCGGTGTCCGACATCTCAAGGCTCTCAACACTTTAGGAGTTCGACGACCTCACGTCGAGTTCGAACTCGTGGGAGGGTATTTTGTTGATGGTTCCAGTGTGAAGCGTACTCAGTCTGCGACGGGATCTAGCAGCAAGAATGCAAACTTCTTGGATCGTATCGTTGCGCATGTGAAGCTTCCAGTTGACACGCTTTACGCCCCTCAACTGCAAATCCGGGTGTGTGACACAACACTCGGAGGTCTACGTAAGACAACGTTGGCCTCCTGTATCGTAGATCTAGCGGACAAACTCCCATGGAGTCCAACGTATCGTGTCGAGATTGCGGAGGGCTCTGGGTCTCCGTTCAGAAGTCCATCCAAACGCAAACAGAGAGAGAAGGACGTGAAATCTGGAGCAGAAAACGAAGAAAGCGAGACGGAGTTTCTGTTCGATGAAGGTCAACCCGAAGAGGAGACGGAATATCCCTTGGATGATGGCACTGGCGTTGGGGATCTCGTTCTTCCTTCGGTGTTACAATCTCACGCACGAGTCAGTAGCATTTACACACTGGAAGATACCGATCCCGCCTTGATCGAACAACGCCGTCGAGAGGAAGAACGACGCTACAATGCTAGTAAAGCAGCATTACTACTCTCACATCGACCATCCAATGACCGACGAGGATCTGTTCTTGGCTCACCGAGGAGTAGCAGTCGTGACCAAGAGCAGCACCGCGCTCCTTATCTTCCAGGTCGAGATTGGTGGATTTCCCAGTATGGAGGTGAGGAGCTCGAGAAGTATTTTTCCAGCCCAGCTCTTGAAACCTATCAGCTCCACCGACCCGTACTGTCACGTCCATCGCTGTTAAGTTTCGAGCGAGTAAAAGTGCAACTTCGAGCAGGAGTCTTTAAAGGACGAATCACAGTCATGGAACGGAGAGCTAAGAGCGAATCTCGTTCACAAGAAGAAGAGCGAGCAAAGCAAGAACATCTCGAGCTCCAACGACTTCAGGACGGACCTCAACGCGTCGTCGTTCGCGTTTACGTGCTTCGAGGACAGAACTTGCAGGCCAAGAACGCCAATGGCTATTCCGACCCATATCTCCGCTTAAAGCTGGGTAGTAACCGGATCAACGATCGCTCGAACGCTTGTATCAACACGTTAAAGCCAGAGTTCTTCCGCATGTTTGAAGTGGAGACGACTTTACCCGGAGCCTCTCAGCTTGACATCAACGTTTGGGATCGAGGTCTGGTCTCGGATCAGCTGATCGGGTCTACCACGATTGATCTGGAGGAACGTTGGTTCCATCGTGAGTGGCAGGAGATCGGAGCAGCGAACGCGTCGGAGAAGCGACTGAAGCCCATAGAGTATCGACATCTGTACGTCCCACAGAATCGCACCACATCTCAAGGTTTCTTGCAGCTCTGGGTGGATATCCTGGCGACTCAAGAAGCCGCTCGCATCGACCCTGTCGACATCTCCCTGCCAGCTCCAAAGACATTTGAGGTGCGTGTGGTTGTCTGGCGAGCGGAGAATGTACAGGACCAAAGTCAAAGCGAGATAAACGACTACTTCGTCAAAGCGTGGATGGAAAGCTGGGGTGTTTCCGGTAGTAGTCGAGCCGAAAGCACCGACACGCATTGGCGATGCTCGAATGGGAAACCGTGTTGGAATTGGCGTTTAGTCATGAAGACCGAGTTTCCTCCTCGGTCACCAGAGCTCGCGCGTCTTCATGTTCAGCTATGGGACAAGGACGTTCTCAAGTGGAACGATGTGTTAGGAGAGGCCCAGTTGGATCTGTACAAATGGCTGCGTCGAGCGTACGAGACGAATCGCTCGGTGGCTCCGTTTCTTGAGCTCAAACGTCTAGCACGACAGTCAATTATACCTGGAGAGATACCCGACACCTCAAGAGATGCCACGGAAGGTGGAAATACCAGTGAAAGCTTTGATAGCAGTGAAGACGAGAAAGATGTTGCTGTCACGCTATCACCTCGTGAAGACAATGCCTTACTAGGTGAGAAGCCGAAGAAACAATCTCGAAAACGTATTCAGAAGCGTCGAGAACCGACGTTGGCGGAGCGTAAGCAGCAGAAAGATGAGGCTGACGCGGAAGCTGCACTCAATGGGTTGCTGGATTTCATGGGTCTTGGTCGCCTTCCAGACGATGCCGAGTGGATTCCAATCTACTTTACGGACCGTGAAGCTGCGGTGTCTATGGAGATGGGGCGTATTGGAATCTCGGTGCTAATTGTTCCAGAGGAGGAAGCCCTGGCGTCTCCAGTGGGGAAGGGTCAGAACGCCCCAAATCTTAACCCGTATCTGCCTCCACCTGTGGGACGGATGCGGTTTACGGCTAACCCGATTGCTATGCTTAAGGTGCTGGTCGGACCGAGAATGTGCATCCGTCTGTCAGTCATGTGCTGCTGTGTCGGGTGTATGTTGTTCATCTCAGTGTTCGGAGCGACAGTCATGAGCACACTCACCTACCTTCAAGCTATGGAAGCAAGGCATTCGCAGGATAAAACAGTATAATGAAACGGTATACTGTGTGGTACAGCATAACGTTGATGTTTTCAGGCAACTTAAGCAACAAGCGCAAATTAATTTTTGAAACATCTAAAATTGAAATTCTTATTGTCATGGATGTGGCATTGGCATCGCTGGACCGAGGCGTGCGCGGGATCTTCACGGAGCCTGGCACCGCATTGTGCGCATCTTCCTCACATATTATGTGCGAGTGCATGCTGCAGCAAGCAGCACCGCTCGATTGGCGTTATTTAGCGCGCTTTCCGGTACTAAAGCGCCACGTATTGGCCGAATTCAGGTCCATTGCCTTAGAAATGGCCAAAACGCCGCAAACACCTCGCAAACGGAAGAAACGGAGCATTGCGCAACAAAGTGGCGACGTTCAAGAGTACAAAACACTTTGTCTCGCTTCGCTATGTCAAAAATTGGCTCAATGCGAGCTGTTGAAAGTCGGAGAGGCGGAATTCATGGAAAATGTCGTGAAACTCGAGTCTCTCGACGTTCTACGGCGTGTTATCGCTGGCAGACTGCTGCCTTTGAGGATACGAATGCTGCTACTGGGTTTCGCATTACAAGAACAAGGAGCGAAGTGTCTGGAGACGAAGGTACAGAGCTGGATCCAGCAGGTCTGTGAGAAGATACTCGAAGAGGTTCTAGAGGCCACAGCAACGGGTGGATCCAGTGAGCCGCCGAAAAAACGAGCAAGGACGAGATCAGACGATAAAAAGGCTGAGACACCAGACGAGATGGACAAGAGCTGTGAGTTTTGTCGAGGTGGAGCTGGTTCTGAGGCCTTCAGGTCAAAAAATGGAGGATGGGAGTTTCTTGTGCAGTGCACGCAGCAGACTGCGAGGATATTGGAGAAAAATGGGGCTAGATATGCAAGTAATAAGGCGATGGCTGCATTGTCGGCTTTTTGGGATTCGTTGCCTGTTGCTGGATTGACGAAGAGTATGAAGAGTGGGAAGAGGAGGAAGAGATCCCTCATTTCGGTGAAACATGCAGGTGCTAAGTCATCGATGTCGATTGCAACCTATGAGCGTATATGTCGAGATTTCGGGAACTTGGAGGATCAGAATGAAGTTTATTGGAAGATGTGGACGAGTGTCTGGGAGCGAGAGCTCAAGGATGTTGTGCAAAACCAACAACTCACGTTGGCCGACGCTGTTCGTCACTGTTCGAAAGCAGACGCGTTTGCTAGTGTTGTGCTGCCTGGTCTGAATGAAGGGATCTCTCATCTACCGGGTTTTCGCATTGTCGTGGAGATAATTCGCTCGTTAGTCGCTGATACGTCTGATATTTTCACTTCGTTTGCACATGTTTGGAATAGCGTGGGAGATGATAGTGACGCACTCTCTCAATTTACGGCGCTAAGACGCACTGGAGCAGCGTCATCAAAGCGGATTCTCCGATCATATTTAAGTGAACTATTACACGCTCCGAAGGCCCGACACGAACTCGGGTCATCCTCGCCACTGGAACTGCTGTTCATCCTGTGCAGGATTTTCGCTGGACCTGGTAATAACCAACAGCAAGGTGGCGATTTCACGAAGCATTGGGATGCTCTGATGTCTCAGCTTAGCAGTGAAACCTCAGTGAGCGATTCAACTCAGGAAGGAATCAACTGGTGTCTCTTTCTCGAGAAGTGTGTGCTTGATATCGATTCCAGCGGTTCCATGGTAGTGCGTGGACGTGACGCCTTCTTGAAAGCGTTCAGGAGCTATTGTCGTGTTATCATGCACGGAGTTATTGCAACTGGAGGCAGAAGTATATCGAGTTATGGCGCTATACAGCGACAGCTTATTCGTGATGATAGTAGCCGTGCTGCAGTTCGTCAAACACTCGCTCGGATGATGACAATGCTTGGAGAAGACTGGGTTTCCAGCCTTATCGCACAGCTGCTTAGATCGAGTACAAATTTACGCTCAAAAGACGAGTTTTGTCAACGAGGCACGAGGAATCTGCTGTTTCCTGCGCTGGTCTCTGGCATGAAGTCCACGGGCAAATCAAATCCAAAAAGACGAAAGACTGGACAGCAGCTATTCACCGGTATTGTCCATGCTGTCAACGCCATCTTAAAAGAAAGCGAGCCAACGTCTTCGTATCTTGCACCCTTGATGCGGTTTTGTGAGGCTTGGGACGCGTACCAACGTACTCACACAAAAGAACCGCCCACTAGAGCTAATAGATGGGGCTTTAAAGCCATGATTGAGCTGGAAATGCTCCCGGAACTTGTTGAATGCTTCGAGAGAACGGAAATATTGCATCAAGAGAGCAGTGAAGTGCTGGAATATGCAGCAGACGTGCTACAGAGCGCCCCAAACTGTCCGGCGACACTGGAAGCGAGACTTTTCAAAGTGCTTTCCACCGTTAAAGCTGGCGTGGAGCACGTCAGCGAGGGTCCAACGGTAGCGTCTATTACTGAGCTTGTATCGCATTCCAGTGAGGTGCTCCAGCGTCTTCTCCGTGCGGTAAAATTTGCTGACTTAGCTCAGACGCGTGCGTTGATGGGCCGCATGAAAGATTCGATTGGGACAATGATCGAGTTAAGGCAGCAACTGGAGCGATGGTTCTCGTTCGTTGAGAGTTACGGTGCATCTTTCGCTTGCAAGGAATCGCGGATGGAGCTGTCGTTGCTGTGCACACGGCTGATTCGATGGTTCCCGAACGAGTTCGATAGCATGCGCTTTCTGCTCATGACGCCACTCGATTCGCACTTTGTTTATGCGTTGAAAGCGTTTGTGAAGGAAGCTGGAAGACCGACCAACAGGCAGCGTGGGGCTTTTCTAGACCCTACTGCCAGATCAGCGTTGCCATCAGCTGTTCGAGTGGAGATGGCGCTGCATTCATATCTATCGGCTGCAGCCTTCCCGGACCTCGAGACTCTGACAACGTTGCTGGTCAAAGCGACGATCAAGTGTCGCTCTCCAGACGCGTTTGAACACCTCCTGAAGATCGCTCAGAAGAATGGCAGGGTGCTGCTACCAGAAGCAGCAGTGGCGACTCTGAGCTCACCACTGAGGGGGTTAGAGTTCTCGGGTTCTGCTCTAAATCAGCAAGATGAAGACGTGGACGATAACCAACTCAAGACTCATGCCAGACACGCCAAAGCTCTGATTTATCAGGAGAATACGCTGAAGCTTCTGGCAGATTCTACCTCTATCTTTGAAGGAGGAATTTCATGGTCGGAGCTGCTGTTTGACGAGAGCTCTGCGACGACATGGCTGCCTCATTTCTTCGAGTATATCTTGAAGACTGAGTTCTGTGAAGGCACTCTACGCGCTGACCTGTTGGTAACGAAGTTGGAGGACATCCTGCGTGCTGGCATAGGTGAGAGAGTGCTCCGGGAGGCATTCTGGCTGGGTGCGTTGCTCAACACAGCGCTAGTTGCGTGCTCGAGTCGAAGTGCTGGCGCTTATGCGGACGTGGACGGAGAGATGCTCGACAGGTTGCGATGGATGTCTACAAACGTGCTGCAATTACTTTCCATCGCTTCTAGTAGAGAAATCAGCAGTGGTACTCACACCACTGACACGGACTTGCTAGGTGTGTTAAACTGGACAAAGTGTACAAGGTTGCGTATTAAAGAGAGCGGTGCGTCCTGGACGCGTGAACGTACAATCAATAAGAGAACGTCCGAAGCAGTGCGCGTGCGTGTGTCTGAGATTTGGAACGCTGAAGTGGAAGCTTCGCAAGCTGTGACGCTACCTCCAGTCCAGCTCTTTATGCCGTTCGTGCGCTGGTTGTCAGGGGCTCTGGTCTACTCGCAGTCGTTCTTGGAGGAGCCCTCTGCAGCTATGAGACGTTGGGAGCGCACATTCACCAGCTACGTGACCGATCTGTACTTGCATGTAGAATTCCAAGGCGACGCATACGGCCTCCTTAAGGCGTGGCTAACTACGTGGGTCACATCCAACATTGCTCGAGGGCAAGACGAACTGCAGCTCATAGCTCTGTTGCCCTCACAAGTGGCTTTGTTCCGTCGTCTGGCGTTGAATCCTAATCGCGGCACATCGCCTCAAGCCTCGACGTCGATTTGGCAAGTAGTTATCGTCGCCGTTAACGTCGCCTTGGACAACCACTCAGATGACAACCTGGTGAGGTTTGAGCAAGCCACAGAGCTAATCGCCAGTACGCTGACTACACTGGAGCTCGTTGAGCTGTCTACAACGTCGGATTTCGTGCGCTTCAGTGGCATACAAGACATGGAGCCGTTCTTCGAAGAGCTCGAGAGGTTCCTATCACGACCCCAGCTCCGCTCCTGCAGTGCTGATCACGTGTGCTGCTTGCTACAATATCCACTGGAGCTGCTTGTTTGCTGGTACGCCTGCAAGATCCTAGCAGATTTTAAAGAGGAGTCTCGACTGTTTCTCCAACGTGTCACGAAGGTACTGGGCGGAAGCGATGACTCTGCAGCGAGTGAAGACTGCGGCGCTTTGTTTGCACTGGACGCAACGGAAGTGGATGCGTTTATTCAGTACTGGTCCGATGAGATGCTGCTCAAATACGACTACATCGACCGAGATCGCTGCGTCGACGTTCTAAAAACCATCCAAAAGTCACTAACAAGACAGCATTAATCGAAGCGACAACAACACCTTCAGTTTTTTATATACTGGCTGCACACGTCGATATTCGTCTACTGTTGTTGTTCTAGTTGCATCTCCCTCCGCTTGATCCTGTCTCGCTTGATGTCGTTGATCACACCTTGGCGCATCACCTAGCAGCAGGTTTAAGTCAATCAATAGAGAACTGAGCTGGCTGAATTGACACGCACCTTCTTCTCGGCGATCTGCTGGTGGTGTGCGTAGTACACAGCATAGGCTGCGCCCGCGCACAGGCCGCTGAGTACCAGCACCGGCGCCTTATCCTTGAGCACTCGGATGAGTGTCATGGTCTTCGGATTGAGTAATGAGCGGCGAGGACGATGAAACGTTAAGTACGATTGCGGCAGACGCATGATTACTACTTTGTTCTTATGACGAATCTATTGATAGCATACGAAACGATGCGAAGAAGTCGAGGGGTATTTTGCTGCAGTGCGAAGGCTCAGAGTCATGTACATTGGGCCATGGCAGGAGTATCGCCTGGCCAAGATCCAGGACGATGCGATTCAGAGACTGCGTCAGGAATGGGAGGCCACGCTGAGTGGCCAACTAGCTCCAGGAGACGATGATAGGATTCGAGAGCTCATGCAGCCGTTGGTGGCGAAGCTTCCTTCGATGCTGCTTGCTGCAAAGTCGAGAACGAGTGGATCGAGCACAGGGTCGAGGAATGGACGTTTGACGCGATCAAACAGCAGCGTGAGCTCAGAAGCTAGCACCCGATACTCCAGTCGACCGGAGTCTGCACGATCAAGTGTGTCTAATGCATCAACGAGGTCAGTAACAAGTCACAGGAGTGGGAGGGAGACTGGTGTTGTGCAGCGACGAACAAAGACAAGAGAGAACAACCAGGAGACGCACGATCCAAGCTCATCTAGGGCTCCTTTCAAGCCCCCGAGGCCGAAGAAAGGCAAGAAACTCACGGCGTTGGAGCAGGTGCAGAAACGAAAGAAAATGTTCGCGACGTGGATCAAAGAAGCTGGTAACAATGACGCAACAGGACAAGCTGCACCGGAAGCTGAACCGCAGACGAAGAAGGTCGACAAAGCCAGCGTCGGATTGCCACCCATACATTCTGCAGCTCCAGCCAGTGCTGCGACCTTGCTCGGTGACAGTTCCAGCTCCAAGGCCTCGCTTCCTTTAAAACTGCCACCTCTGAGCACGTTAAGCATATCGACAGACGAGGTTCCAGAAGAAGATCCCTCAAATCAAGCTCCTATCGTGTCTCCTACGATCTCCGCTCCGTCAAATGCTGCTGACATCGATCTAGACGAGTCCGTGGACGAAGAAGAGCTCAACAAACTGCTGAATTGGACCGACACTCTTCTGTCTCCGCACGCCTTAGACTCGCTGTGCGATTTTGACTCCTGAGCTTGTGGCCAAACTCTTCCGTGTCTCCCGTTTTCAGTGTTCATAGCCGTCTATAAATTAAATGATTCACTCGCGTCTTCCTCCTACACAGCTATCATTCCAGCCACAGCTCGGTAAATCCTTGTCACTCACAAGGCCGAAGCTGCTTCGGCGGCCGAGGACTCGACGAATTCTGCTCTCCGCCTCCTCTTTTGCCAGAAACCTTCAGCAACACAAAGTAATGTCAATAAATAAAAAGAATTCTACTGCATTATGCGTCGCCTACTTTGCGGTCTGCAGCTTGGTATTGCTCCCTCATGACACTGTGCGTAGATGTCACAATTATCACTATAGATTTTAGTGTTAGTTTCAGCTCAAATTTTCATAAATCAACGTCGTCCAAACCTTGGTTTGGAGGTGGCATAGTGTCATGTGTAGCATAATAAGCTTTAGGAGTCATGATCTGCCGTTCACAAAGAAAATCATCACACCGATATTATCACGTGACTGTTTTAGGTCCACAAAGGCAGTCAAAGACTTGTTACCATCTTGATTCCTGGCTCTTGTGGGAGTCTAGAAAAGTTGGCGGCGGAGCTGGTGGGCCACGCAGCTATTGCGTTCATTGCGGGGGCTTTCTCTTCCAGTTTATCGTGCCTGAAACTCGCTGGCCACCGCTTCTCGTTGGTGAACGCCATCGCGTGGGACGTCTCAGAAAGTGTGGGATCAAAGTCGCACATAACACGTAGATATCCTTAGCCATATCGAATTTCAACAATCATCCTTTAAAATTGATTAAAATGTTAGGATAAATGCTGTAAGATACAAGTGTGTCCTTCATAATCACAGCGTCTTCATCATCGTCGCTCTTCATGCCGCTGGTCGCCAAGTCCCTGCAGCTCGTACTGCCCTGCGCGCTAGCGCGTTATCTCCCCGTGCTACTGTACGCAATAGACAATAATTGCCGTATTGTCGTGACTAATAGTACTAAGTCGATGCTGAAACTGGAATTGTAGGTACGACCAGCACCTGGAAGATGCCGTTTTGAGCGGCCTTGTGCCTGTAGTGGCCGCCATCGTCGGGCTGTTATTCGTCTTGAACCTGGTGATTCTCCGTTCTCCGGACCAACCACCCGCCAATCAAATTCTTGGAGGAATTTTGGGTCTCGTAGTGGGATCATTGGTGTTTCATGTGGCTGTGGTTCTGTTCGGAGCTCCTGTGATCGAGTACGTGTCTTTAGTCTTCATACTATAGCTAAAAAAACATTTTTACACTTATCTTTTTTGTGTTGTTAGCTTGTGGATACAGACGCTGTTGTTGGCTGTATTGCTCTCGAGCTGTGTGACGATGCCATTAGCGCTGCATTTGGGGTGTGCACCCCGCAAGTGGCTTGATCTGCTTCTGGCGCTCAGGTACGTTGAGGTTTGTGAGAGATTATTCTCTGTTACTGACTGTGTGGTATGCAGTGTCAGCAACTCGCAGGAGCTGTATGTCGTGTGCTCGTCCATTGGTGCCATGCTTGGAGCCTACGTTGGCGCTCTCCCCATTCCTCTCGACTGGGATCGACCGTGGCAGGTACGATGAACCAAACTCTAGAGATGTTTCTCGTATACCCAGCTAACTTTATTGGTACATTGTTGTAGCAATGGCCACTGACTTGTGTGTACGGCACGCTGATCGGTCATGCTGCTGGAATTTTCGTCAGTATCACTATCAACGCCACTTCGCAGTCTTCTACTGCCAAGTCGACGAAGAAAGACTAAACGAACACCTTTAGAAACCCCATTTACAATCGCTGCATTCATGTTTTCGACGCTACTAGGAGAGTCGTTCGGAACGCTGCGCTCCTGAGATAAACTCCAAGTTTACTCTTCGCGATTTCACTCGGATCATCGAAGAGTTGTTGCAGGATCTGTCTCCTCTGTCGGGCATCGGCAAAGACGAGGAAATCCAGAACCGTATTCACTGCCGCTTCCTTTAACCCAGGTCGTACAACACGCAGACACTGGACGTAGTGACGCATGACATCATCGACACAGACCGAGTCATACTTCATAAGATTCAGCAACGTCTGGCATAATGTAGCCATGACGGCTTTGGTCACCGTCTCCGTCGCCAGAAGTGAAGCCACAGGAGCAGCGCAACGTCGCAGTAATGCCACCACAGACGCGCCCTGGTCCGTCTTCGCGCACAAGGAATCGATCGCTTGAAGTCCTTGTGTAACAGCACTCATATCCGTCCGCTCCGTCAATGGTTTACCTGTAGTAGACGCAAGTTCTTGGCTCTCAATGCGACTTAACAACTGCTCGACTTGTTGTTGCTGACTCGAAGCTCCGTGGTGCTTACGGCCTGTTCGAATGGACTCCAGAGTCGTACGCAAGCTCCATTCGTTATGACGCTGAGCCATGACTTCCCCAAACGCCACAGACTCTGGTTGCGACTCGTACATACTTTCCAGCAGAATAACACGTGGGGCTGAGAAGACCAGCTCACTGGCGAAGTCAAAGTCAGCTTCCAACGCGTCGTAGAAGAATTCCCAGGTGTGAGAGACGAGCTGGTGGAACTCGACGGCATGGTGGTCGGCTATGACACGCAGGATCTCGAACAAGAAATGGCAGAATGGCTCCAATACGCTTGGTCTGTGACGCATGTGTGGCCGCATGATCTGCATAGCACTGAGAATCTAACAACAACAAGCGAGTTAGCTGCTATCGAAGCTGGCTGCATCCTCGAAGACAAGCGTACATTTTGAAAGAACGTCGTGTTGAGATAGAGTTGGGACAGCGAGACCGTCCCAAAGTGCTGCATGAGCTGTCGAGGGAAGCGTGAGAGCACCAGCATAGGATGACATCGAGTCAGCTCTCGGAATCGCTCCACCACTTCACTGCCGTCCCGTGTCAGATCGCGCAGAATATCGTCCACTTGGGACAGCAGATTGCGATCCCGAATGGCCAGCTGGTGCTGATCCCCATGAAGATCGAAGTTTACAAGCGACTCCCAGTTTGGATTCAGCGTGTCGAGTAATCCAGCCACGACCTTGGGGTTCTGGAAGTACAAGGCCTGCATTTGCATCCGAACAAAGTGATTAGTAAGAAACACATACCAGTTACTTACATTGCACTGTTCATACCCCGATGAGTTCACGTTTCACATCTCCATGGATCGCCACGACGTCGCCAAGGTTTCCTAGATGTGGGTCCGCAGTCATGATCGGGTCCAGCAGGTTGAGCATCGTCGTGTCATCAGCTTGATCGTGCGCTATACTCGTCAATAGGTCAGTAGCACAAGACCCAGTCGACTTTTCCGCGCTAATCCCTTGAGTCCGCTTGAGTACTTCCACTTCCTTAACTAGGACCACAAGACTATGCAGTGCCATCGCATCCAGACGAAGAGAAACATTCTTGGCTTTCCATCGTGCAACGCTGCGCTCGATAAACTTAACCACCAGCTCCAGCACCGTGTAGACATCTAGCGCTATCGTTCGATCATCAAGAAGGAAAAGACCTTCAGTACTGGAGGCTTGCACTAGGTGGCGAACGAAGCTGACACAAGCCGAGTAAGACCCAGCGAAGCCTTCGCCCAGGTTCTCCAAAGCACGACGTACAAATCCGCTGCATTCCTTGCGGTGAGTAGCACTAGAGCAGGTTGGCAGGTGGCTCACGACTAGAAGCAATGCCTTGGCCAGCTCAGCAGCAGCAGCAGCGGAGGTGCAACATGACCTTGCAAAGTGCAGTAACGACATGTGTAGTGTCCACAGGTCAGCAGGAGAATGCGAAGAAGAGTCCCCACTGTTCGGACACGACCTATCAACTGCTTGACTGGCGGCATAGACAAAGTCTTCAGGGGCGATCACATTAGGCAACGATCCAGTGCTCGAGCTTCGCTTCAGCTCCTTCACTACATCGTCCAACAACGGAATAGTTGCAGTCCCATCATCTTTCACTTGCGAGGTACCAGCGTAGACGTCTTTGAATACCTCCAAATCCGTTCTAGTGCTCTCAGTTGTAGAGCCGACGGACGTTTTGGGTGGTTCCTCCATCGGTTCTGTGTAAAACGAGCCCATAGTGGCTGTGGAGCTAGCCTTACTCGTCTGGATCTTGAAGGAAGTGAAGCCTTCCGAGAGCAGGAGTGCTTCTTCATCATCTGCATCGGTCGTCATGCTGCTGTTTGACCCGCTTCGCTCCTGAAGCCACTCGCGTAGTAACTTCAGTTTCTCCGACACGACAGACGAAAGATTGGGGACCAGGTCGTAAGCACTCAGCTGCATCAGGACTGTGTCGGCTGCAATCGAGATGTCCGACGCCTTGGTCACGGCTACAAGACTAGACACAGCCTTGCTTTCGTTCTTCTTCGTTGCTTCTACAGCTGAAAGCAACGCCATCTCTAGACACTGCTCGCTTAACGCTGACTGCTCCAGAAGGTTCCACAGAGATTCCATTGACATCGCACGCACCGCAGTGGCGCAGAGATGAGCCGTCGTGGGAGAAGCTGCGGCTGCAAGTTTGGTCAACAAATGGTCTGGATAGAGACGCGAATCCTTCGTTGCGATGAGTCCTGTGCTCGACAAAATCGCAGTATTCGACGTCGCTTTCGGGAACAAACTCTGCGTTATCCTCGCCAAGCACGTGGCCGTTCTGTCGTCTGACGAACCTGTTGTCGATGAATCTGTGTGAGCGTGTGGCGAGCAAAGCACCTGGATAGCGCCGTGAATAATCGCGAGAGGGAGCTTGATCTCGCGGATAGTATTGGCGCCATCTGTCACGTAAAACACTTTGCAGTCTGAGAAGCTGATGCCAGACGTTGCCTTAAGTTGCGGAGCAATTTCCAGTTGCGACTCAATCGCACGCCAGATCACTTCCACTGTGACGGCGAAGATGTCGAGATCCTTGAGCAACAGAGTCGCCACCAAGTCACGTCCCGCAAGTAGCCTCCCAAACGCCCCCGCCAACAGCAGTGACTGCTCAATAGCGGACTTCTGGGGGTGATTATCATCTTCATCCTTCTTGATATCTCCCACTTCGTAGGCGGCATTGCTGCCATCCTTTGAGAAGTCATACAGCGCCTTCATGCACATACGAAGCGACGGGATTGACGCCTCCAGTTCAAGTAAATTCTCTAGCGAGCGGAAAATCTTGCTGCGGACACTGCTATAGCAGGGAAGCTTCGCCAACTCACGCAGCCACGAGAAGCTCTGTGTGCTCGGTGCACCAGACGAGACAACAACTTGATGGATCTCTTCCGAAAGCTCCTCAACGCTGCGAGGTGCAGTCAGCAGATACAGAATATGAGCAGCCACTCGTCGCGTCGACAGCTCGGGAGAATTCAGACACTCGAGATAGTACAAGACAACATTTGACGCCACTTTCGACTTGTCGTTCCCACCAGCAAGATACTCACGCAGTTTGGTGAGCAGACGTGGGATGATCTGAGCCAGTGCTGGTTGGTTTAGAGGCACTTGAGCTTGCGAGTCGGATCTGTTGATGGTGTTGTTGGGACGTACTGCAAGAAGTAATAACTGGCACAAGCATCCGTACGGTAGATACTGCACAGTGTCGAGGTCTTCGCACACGATGTCTGCAATCCACCACGCGCTGTTCGCCGCAGCACTGACGTTCTGCACCGCATTCTTGTCGTCGTTTCCAGCCACCATCTCCATAAGGAAATCCTTCTTTCGACTTTGTCGAAGTCGCATGCCGAGCTTAAACTTGCGGTCCAGAGTACGGAGATGCTCCAGAATCGCTGGTGGCGGTTGACGCGCCAAGCCATTGACATCGAACAACATCAACGGGTCTCCAGTCACTGAAGGATCACCTTGATTAAGCTGCAGCAACTGCTGTTCGTAGTCTCGCAGCTGCAGATTGCCCTGCATCAAGTCAGGGAACGCACTTTTGTGCTTGCCAAGTAGCAATGGATCCGGAGCACTGATAGCGGGGAACGTGTACCGACCAGTAATGACCATCTGCATCAACCCTCGCAGTGTCGGCAGCTCCTCCCACAAGAAGGTGCCGATGGTGTTGGGATTGAAGCACCCAACGATCTACAACAAGCAGGTGTCAGTCGTCCTCCCCCGAGTCTGCCATCGCTAATTTTCTTACCAATAAAATGGAGCAACAAATCCAGAAGCGACTTGAATGGCAGAATTCTTGCTCCTGCTTGTCGCCAGTACCTTGCCACTTTTATCAATAAGAAAAATAATCAGTTCGTAACTGAGATAAGACAAGTAGCTCCGAGTGCGTACCAATGCAAGCTTGAGCAGATGCTGGACGAACTGATTGTTCTTCACTTCAATGCCAAGCACTCCGCCGTTTTGAGCATACGCAGCTAGATCGTCTTCGTGGTGACGCCACAACGCTTCACGATGCATATGAGCCTCAGCACCACGGAAGACTATCGTCTCCAGCGTCCGCAGAGCTTCCACGCGGTCGATAGCTCTGCATGAGTTGTATAAACCTGTGAGAAGTTCCAGCGAGTCTTCGTGAACGGGGATATCTTCTTTCGTCGACTGAAAGCAGGTCCGATCGTGCTCTGTGGGCTGCACATCCGATGGAATATCGAGGAAAAGCAGCTTCTTCACGATACTTTCGTACAGCATTTTCTCGAACGGCGAGTCTCCGTTTAGTCCAAAGTGTTTCAACACGTCACGGCAGCAGACGATGGCTTCTCGCTGTACGGATGCAAGTGCTTGTTGCAGCTCCTCCTTGGCCCATACAGATATCTTCACTGTCTTCGAGCCTTCCGTCAACGCAGTGTTGCTATTGCCACTACCACTGCCACTGGCGGCTGCGGTACTACCGCCACCAATTGCGGTGTGACTCGATGAAAGAGATGACTTGCCTAACACCTGCTTGCCTTTTGGAGGACCAAGTCTATTCGCTCTGGACACGGGGAGTGGCGGGTTGGATCCACGCCGAGGGATTGCCTGGGTGCCGCCATGCTTCAAGCCAGTTGAGCCAAGTGGAGTGGACCCTGTGCCCTGGCGGTTAGTGGCATTTGATTGCTGGAGCTGGAGACTCTTGACAGCTGCCCCCCGCATCAGTAAGATGAGCCAAACAACGCCCGTCACGAGCCCCATATAGTCCAATACCCGCGCGTCACCCGCCAGCGCATCATAATGGCCGTCGTTATCGAGAATCCCAACGCATAGCGCCTTAATATCCACCTGCTCGAACGTCAGCTGCTTCAGAATCTTACGCACAATTGTCTTCAGTACTGGAGCCACGTCCGAGACGCTGGCCATTTCCCGGAATACACGCGCCAATTCTCGACTAGCAAGAGTTCCTTGATGCTCGATGGGTCGACGGTAGAATAAATCGTCCGAGCTGCCTAGGATAGACGGCGCTGACATCGAGCGCGACGCCCGGAAGATATGCTGCAGCATCTTGATGTTGTCCACGTCCCGTGACATGTTGTTGGGGCGTTCTCGAGCGATAAACATCGCCAGTGCACGCTTTAGATACACGGGGTTATTGCACACGAGGTGTGTGATGGCTTCGACCTTGAGCTGGAACATAGTTGACTTGAGTTTCAGCTTCAGCAGCAGATCCACCGTGGCAATATCTTGAGAGCTTGTGGACTTGCAGAGCGCGACGATCTTGTTGAGCAGATCTTTGGCTTGGCCCTTGACGGATGGATTCTGCAGCCACGCCTCCATGTTCTCGGCGCCGAACACGCGCACCTGAGCGACACTCGCACAGTCAGCCAGCGTCATGATCATGTTTCGGACCGCGTGGTTGCCGCCAACACTAGAGGGGCCTCCCGTGTTTCCAGGCTTTTCCTTCTCCAGTTCCACGAGACGAGAACGAATATGATTAGTGATGAGATCTCTCATCTCCTGGACCACAGCAGATCCCTGGAAACGCTTCCGAACGAGAGGCTGCGTCGACTGCTTCTCAGTCCCTTCCGTCTCCAGTACCGTCTTCACGTTTTGAACAAACAATCGGCTTAACTCGTGGTCCACCCACACGCGAGCGGACAACGAGTCGTCCAGAAACACCTTGACGCTGTCCACCGGCCACTCGTCGACCTCCTTCATGATCTGCACCAAGAGGTTCGTCACCAGCACAGGCAGCGAGATCTGATAGTATTCCGTCGATGCCAATGCATGCCCTGACCCCAGCGCTGTGACAGCGCTTGGCTTCTTGCCGTGGTCCGACGGGTCTTTCATGCCAATGTAGTGCTTCGACCGCAGTAAACGCAGCAGATACTTGAGCACAACCGGCTGGCTGAATCGCTTCGGGTCTTCCGCTACAGTAGCGAGTAAGGATACGGCAAACAGGCGGCTTGGAGGCCGGTTCTCTCGGATCAGACGACCACACGCTTCCGTCAAGACTTCCATCAGCTTTGGCTCGGTCGTAGCGCGACTCAGCGCCTCTCGAAAGTGCCGATCCGGAACTTCGTCCGCGTCTGCCCCAGCGTCCGACGCAGATGCCGAGGCGGGCGTCATTTCAACGTCGTCTTGCTCCTCCTGCTCATCTTCCTCGTCCGCGTCGTTCATCAGCGTGTCAATCGATAAGCCCTTGCGTTTCGCAGGCGACGAGGACGGCGTGGCGGCTGCAGACGGTGGGTCGCTCGACGGTTTCTCGTCTTTCGTTTCACTCTTAGCGTCGTCTTGGTCCTCTTCCTCTTTTTCCTCCTCACTCTCAGCACTCTCTTCGATCTTCTTTGGCGCCTGTCGTCTCTTCACCGGCTTCTTCTCAGGCGGCGCCTTCTTCCCCCCTGCAGCGATCTTGGCCGCCCTCGTCTTGCCTCGAGGCGTCGTCTTGCTCTCCTCCTTCCGCAGATTTCTCGTCCGAGGCTTCGCTTCCTGCACTTCCTCCTCTTCTTCTCCATCATCGTCTTCCTCCGTACCTTCCTCTGCTTCTTCTTCCTCCTCCTCCTCCTCCTCCTCGTCTTCATCTTCGTCGTCTTCCTCCTCTGCTTCCTCCTCGTCTTCCGAGTCAATAATTTTCCGCTTCTGCTTCTTCCTAGGTGGAGGCTTGGACCCTCTCAGCTGCCGCCTGCCGCCTCCGCGTCCACGAGCGCCTCTGCGCCGCTCTTCAGTGTCGGCCTCCTCTTCATCGTCATCGTCTTCGTCGCCCTCCTCTTCTTCCGCTTCAGCCTCAGCGTCTTCCTCCTCCACTTCAGTCTTAACCTTTTTCGACTTCTTTTGAGCACTCTTCTTGTTTTTATTCGCCTCCGCCTCGCGCTTTTTTGCCTGCGCACGCGTCAACTTGGGCGGAGGCGTCTTCTGCTCCTCTTCTTCGTCTGCTTCATCCTCATCTTCTTCTTCTTCGCCTTGGCTAGCATCTGCCGCCTCCTCCTCGTCTTCCTCGTCCATTACCACGTTCTTCCGTCGCAGCGCACGGCGCGTCGACCCGCGAGTCGCAACACGCCCACGCTTCATCCTATTGACATGTGAGTCTTTCCTATTGCTAGACGATGATTGGTTAATAAATATACCCAATCACAAAACAATTACAGACATTTGATTTCTGATAAAACACAGCAGATTAGCCAATCACAATACGAGCTGCATTTAGATTGGTCCAATCAAAAACCTAACATATGGGCATTTCACATATTCACGTTTGGATGGCCCCAGCTAGTTTAGCTCACGAACGCCCCCACTCCCCAACCAAGCTATGACAGTGTCTGGTGCTGAAGATCATGTGGTGTCAATGACACCACCATGATCTTCAGCACCAGACCAGGCACTAATGCATACTTCCCCCGCATTTGTTAATTTTTTTAATTTTTTAAACTTGAAAAATGAAAATGAAAACTAAAAAATAAGTGATAAAATTGTATTACCGTAGTTCGTATGTGCTTGCCGACGGAATCGTTTTACTGACAAAACTAATTAGCCAATCAGATTTACCGACAGTTCAGCACAGCCACAAAATTGTTATTAGCTAAATATTTACCAAAAAAATCAATTAATAAAACAGGTTCAAAAACTGTTTGGGTCCGCGGAGCTGGTAAAGACAAAGAGAGGATTACAGTTATGCTGCTAGCAGACTCAGACGGGACTAAATATCCTCTTCACACATCGTTTTTAAAAGCTCTCGATCTACAGCTCAAGGTGGTGATGCAGCCAGCTGGAAGTACAGGCGTGGGTTTGGAATTTACGTGTGAGCAGAAGAAAAAATCAAAATGAGCGCGACAGATTTGCAGCTCAATGCGAACCCAACGGCATGGTGGAATATTTAAATTCATTTTAAATTTCTAAAAAATTGTTTTGGAACCCGTCCAACGCCGTGGCAGCCAATTTTGCTGTTAGTAGACGATTTTTCTGGACACTGGACGGATGAAGTGCTAGCGTACGCCAAAGGAATCGATGTCCATCTGATGAAAGTACCTCCATTCTGTACAGCTGTCTCTCAACCGGCAGGTGAAGCATGAAAAAAGCCGTTCAAAACCAATTTACGATCAGCGTGGATTGATATGTTACGAGAGCAGCATCGAGCTCATACTGTCCGCGATGTTGCGCTCAAATTGAAGCCCCAAACGCGATCACAAGTGTGCAAGTGCGTACATACAACCTGGACAAATCTGAGCACTACGACTATCGAGAGAGGTTGTTGGAAGGCACATTTAATGCCTTCAATCTCGCCTCGAGATGTTAGAGACGCTCATTGAGCTGATGATGTGCTCGACGACGCGGCGATATCGGTTTTGGCAGAATTCAATTTGATCGATGCCACCGCAGACGATGTTTCATCGAAAGATGACTTAAACTGTAGTGACAGTGATGAAGAACATGAGGACATCTTCTAATGAGATATTTCAGCGTGCAATTATGTCTTCTGTTCTTAATTTCTTTGAATACCACTGTTGACTTACTCCTGATGTGCAGTTACAAATCGTGCAGATGGATGTCAGCAAGCACATACGGAATACGGTAGCAGACGTAGTGACGTTTAATGGCGTCGACTAGACCTTTTATAAACTGTTGTGAAGTGGAGCTTGCGGGGGAGAGTTAAACTCTTCACAGACACTCATCAATGAAGGAAGGGAGAAGGTGGTTCCGGTATCCACGGAATGCCTGTATAGATATTAATTATAGTTAGTACGCACGATGCATTGAATAAACAGACCTATTTTCATACCTTTAGCCTCTGCTTTATTCGAATTTCCCAAACACCCTCAATCCTCTGTGTGCGCGCCCCGCTGACAGGGTTGACAAAATTTGTAGAGTGGTTGACCCACTGGTGAGAATAGCTCACATCTTCCAGGTACGGGCTGCTCTCGAGGTAGTGGCGTCCGTCTATAGTGACGTAAGACGGCCACATGTCGCTGATAATGTGCGACCAGCCCAAAATTCGTAAAGGGTAAGCAATAACAATAGATAGCGTAAATATAACGTGCCCTGGAAGGACAAATTTTCGAATTTAAGCCGAAAGACGAGGTTTTGTACGATCGTCGTACATGACGCTCGTGAAGAACATATTCGTCGTGCGGGCTACGCCTCCAAACAGCCACAAGTCAGGTTAGCGTGCACCTACTTTGTTCTTCGACTTCTTCTTTATGCTCGTTTCGTCAATTTCGACTACGTGCCCTGACCCCCACCT